GAATCCATCCTCCTGTCCTGTGATATGTGAGGGGTAATTCATCTTCCCTGTAGATGGGAGCAGCAGTCTTCTGGCAGCGCTTATTTCCCATGAATCCTTATCCTGAAAAGAAGGCTAGCAAGCAGTTTACTTGGGAGGATCTGTGTCCTGTCCAAGGGAAAGTGAGGATTACTTGAGCCTGGGGATGTCCTGCCATGCAAGTGTATTGTACATGTTGCTCATTTTATTCAAGCACTCACATTTAACTATTTGAAAAGTATACTTGATTTGGAATACTATTATATATTAAAAATCTTTAAGGTTACTTTAAATTTGTTCTGAGGTAACTGCTTTAGGCTTAACTCTGACAGCACATACAGAAGACTATATAATGAGAGATGTGAGTAGGTAAATGAATTACATTTTTACTTAGCAGGACTACAAACAGCTCTGAGCACACTAATGACTGTGATCATTTGTAAGGTGGCTGACCATTAACCTTCATATCTTAATTATCATTAAAACTTTACAATAGGGGGCTGGAGAGATGGCTCAGAGGTTAAGAGCACTGGTTACTCTTCTAAAGGTCTTGAGTTCAATTCCCAGCAACCACATGGTGGCTCACAGCTATCTGTAATTGGGTCTAGTGCCCTCTTCTGGTGTTGAAGCAGACATGTAAGCAGAGCATTGTAAACACAATAAATAAATCTTTAAGAAAAAAAAAAAAAAGAATTAAAAAAAAACACTTTACAATAACTAGTAAGAGTAGGATTTTATAATCTTATCCCTTTTAAGGTTTTTAGCCTTATAAGTTACAATTTTGAATGGAAGTCCTCTTAGTATTAAAATAAACTTTAAACTATAGATACAGTCCATGTTGAGATTGGAAACCTCACTTTCCTGATCCTTTTATAAAATACTTTTACAAAATATAATTTTGTTGTTGTTTTGGGGGATAGGGTTTCTCTGCATAGCCTTGACTGCCCTGGAACTTGCTCTGTAGACCAGGTTCGCCTTGAACTCAAAGATCTGTCTGCTTCTGCCTTCTGAGTGCTGGGAATTAAGATGTGTGCTACCATGCCCAGAAAAATAAAATTTTTATATGATTCAGTTTTTCCAAATGTCTACAGATTAAAAACATTAGAAAAAAGTGATTTGACATAAATCTTTTTTTTTTTTTTTTTTTTTTTTTTTTTTAAGATTTATTTATTATGTATACAGTGTTCTGTCTACATGTATCTCTGCAGGCCAGAAGAGGGCACCAGATCTCATTACAGATAGTTGTGAACCATCATGTGGTTGCTAGGAATTGAACTCAGGACTTATGGAAGACCAGTTAGTATTCTTAACTACTGAGCCACCTCTCCAGCCCTAGACATAAATATTTAAGTCAGTTTCTGTTAGCACAAATAGACCATTATAACCTTAGGGATTTATAAATTGTAATCATCAAACATATATCATTCTTTTTTGAAAATTTTTTTTTTTTTTATTTTATGTGCATTGGTGCTTTGACTGAATGTATGCCTGCATGAGGGCATCAGATCACCTGGAACTGGAGTTATAATAGACAGTTATGAATGAAAGACCCCCACGATGCTTATTGCCTGTTTGAATTGCTTTTGCTAATTTGCCAAGGTCAGGTTATGAGAAAAGTACAGGAGGGAACCAGGTGCTGCTCTCATCCAATACCAACCAGATATCTGTGGTCTGCAGCTTGGACCAAAGCAAGGCCAGAAGGACGGTATCTGGGATGCTGAGAGAGTCATAACTGAATTCTTTGTATTCTTGGTGCCCAATCCGAATAACCAACTGTCCTTGGTTAACTACAATTGCTACATTTAGATGAAACAATGAAATCCCTGTAACCATGCTTCTGCTTCTGTAAGCCTGCTTCTTGCCACCCTAACCCTATATAAACTGCCTGAGTTTTAACCTTGGCACGCTCAGTCCCCCGAAAGATTGAAGCATCCGCAGGTACCTGTGTAAACAATAAATAACCTCTTGCACTTGCATCCAGTGGTCTGGTCTCGTCTCTTGGGGGCAAGGGCCTTCCCCCCTGACAGGCTCCAAATTCTTGGGGTCTCTTGGGGGTCTTTCATGAACTACCTTGTGAGTGCTGAGATTGAACCTAAATCTTCTAGAACAACAACCACTGAGCTGTCTCTCCAGCCCCTGACATGTATCACTTCAAACCTTATATATTGTACTCAGACTTTTTGTGACTTGGCTTTAAACTTTTGTGATTTTTGTCCTCTTCCTTATTTTTTATTCTAAGGGAAAAAAAATCTTATCTAAGATTTTAACCCGTTTTAAACCAAAAAAAAAAAAAAAAAAAAAAACATATGACCATCTATTTTGTATCCATTGAAAACTTTTCCCTCATGTCTTACAGTTTCTATTTTCCTAAACATAAGTTGAATCCAAGTGACATATATGTCAAGTGGCAGATATGGTGTAGTAAATTAAGACTGTCTGTAGGTAGACTTTAACTACTAAGGTGTTTTGTTATAAATTTTAAGCTTGGAACAGTTTTTTTTTTCTTCTTCTTCTTCTTTAAACATTCTCTTCCCTAGTGGTCTTACAGAGCCTGAGGGAAAGTAAGTTTACATTTCAGAAAGAGCTTCAAAGATTTCCATAACCTTGAAGGAGGGGCAAGACCAAGAAAGGGGAAGTATTCAGAGGGCTAGACACCTGTCATTACATTTAGCCATTTTCATTTTTATATCTAAATTTCTCTTGGTTATAAAATTTAAGCACCATGAAACATAACAGTAGCAAACTCATTTGTTGTAGGAAGTTTTTCTGAGGTGGTGTTGGGCAGCCTTTTTATTGATACGTAGGTGGACTCCATCCTCATTTTTAGTTTTTAGCCTGTACACCCCAGTTTTTCCAGAAAACCATGTGGTTTCATGCAGTTAGGAGCTTAGGAACTGATTGCATACAATCAGCTGGGAAAAATGAGTGGCTACTCAGGTGACCTTCCTAATGATTTTGCCTATCCTTTTTTTTTTTTTTTTTTTTTTTTTTTTTTTTTTGGAAGGAATATTAACTTTTACCAAGTTCAGCTGCAATTATTTTAAGAGGCACACCTGGAACTATAGAGTTTTTTTGTTTCTTCCCCCCCCCCCCCGACAGGGTTTCTCTGTTTGCTCTGGCTGTTCCAGAACTCTCTCTCTGTAACTCTGTAGACCAGGCTGGCAGAGGAACTACCTTACCTGCCTCTGCTGCCTTCTGGGTGCTAGCAGTACCACCACTGCCAGTGAGGTGTTTTTTTTTTTTTTTAAATCCACAACCATCTTGTGTATGTCTACTCATAGAGGCAGACAACCTGAAAAGCTAACAATTTTTTTTTTTCTGAAAAACACATCAAGCTGCAGAATAATGTAAGTACCTGTAACTTAGAAGCCATCAAACAGAAAACTATGAAAACCTGCCAGAAACTCGGAACGTGTTGGTATCCGCTCGTTTCTTCCTTAGTTTGTCCATGTCTTTAGAACTAGAACCCTGAAACACAAGTGGGGCAGAAACAAAGGCAGACCAAAGGCACGAGGCCGAGGAGCCCCCAAAACACAAGGACCATCCTATCTCAGGGAAGCAGCTTCTATCTGCAGTCCCTCCCTCCGGAGTCTCATAGCTGCACTGGTCTCATGGGGCAGAAGTGGGCCATGTATGTCACAATGGGCATACTTAGGCATGTTCCTATAGGCATGAGACTGAACACAGGAGTTCTCACTGGAATCTTTGAGCAGCACAAGGCTATCAGGGTGACCCCACCCTTCCCTCTGTTTCTAAGCATCGCTCCCTCTAGCTATTGGCCATTTAACTCTCTGGGCAATGCTGTGGCTGTATGGACCTCTGCAGTTGCAGAAAGCCTGAGGGGTTCCCTAGGGAGTTCAGTCCCCAGCTGAAGCACCCTGCTTTCCTGCATCATCCATGGCCTTTGAATTTCAGATGGAGGTCAGTGCTCCTTTCCTCTGTTTTCACAGAACCCAAGGATGACCTAACCCTCAGCAGAACCTTGCAGGTGTTGACTTGTCAGCGCAAGACTAGCCGGGCTAATTACCCACCTAGGAGCCCTCACCTGCCCTTGCACTGCACTCGCTTGGTGAAGGCAGACCGGGTGCCTGGAGAGCTGCCCATGGTCATCTCCACCTGGGCCTAAGGCGGGGAGGGGGCAGTGTAGGGTGGGTGGTGTCCAGTTTGGTCTAGTCTCCACCCCAGCAGAAATTCTCCATTCTTGAGTTCCTGAAAAAGACAATTCCAGACAGGGCCCAGTAACGGTTCAAGCAGTCAAGTTTAATTAGGCCAAGGAAGCAAGCTTGTGTTCTTAACACAGGCCTAGCCCTGCCTTGATCCAGAAAGGCTTGAGATTTAAGATTTTTCTCTCTGTTGTCCTCGTCCCTGTGCCTCCTCCAGGGTGGGATTTCTAGTGGGCACATTTCTCAGAAACGCATGTTACCTAGAATTCAATAGTCTGTTGTAAATAGGTATGTAAGATGCAAGAATCTGTGTAGGGCTCAAGTTCCCCATAAATGAAAAGTGCACTAGGGAGAGGGTAACAGTACATAATCTAATGGCGAGGAAGTCCCTGAAGGTTTGATCTGCTCCATTACCCATTGCCCCCCTCCCCCATCACCCTGGTATTGATCTTCTGGTGGCCCATGCGGAGTTGACCACCACCATTATTGTTATGCGGTTTCAAGGGCTCTGAGTTGATCTGTTGTTTTAAGGGCCTGTTGGTCAGCAACAGGGAAGGTGAGCCATGAGAGTGCCTGCGGCTTAGAGGCAGGGAAATTGTCAGCCCTGGGCACAGGTGCAGCCCATGGTGATGAGTTGGTTAGGGGGCGGGAGCTTGCAGAGTATGGTTGGCATGTGGCGGTACGAGCCTGAGTGAGCATACTGTGAGCGTTCAAGAGTAGGGTGGGAATGCAGAGGATAACCAGGCACCCAGGAGTTAGCCCAACTCCTGCTTGGGGGCGGTCCAGCGCACGGGGGCGTGGCACGCCAGGGACTAGGGGTGGGGGCGGGTTGATAGGTGTTGGGCACGCGCAAGCGCCTGGTGCTAGCGCTGACCTTTGAGGTGGCGGCCATGGGGCGCTCGAGTTGGCGGTTGGTGGTCGCGGCCGGCGCGGGTCTCGCGCTGGCCCTAGAGGCTCTACCGTGGCTGGTGCGTTGGTTGCTGGCCGGGCGGCGGCCACGGCGTGAGGTGCTCTTCTTCCCGTCGCAGGTGACTTGTACCGAGGCTCTCCTGCAGACCCCGGGCTTGCCCCCCGGGCCCTCCTCCGGCTGTCCGTGCAGCCTCCCTCACAGCGAGAGTTCGCTGAGCCGCCTGCTGCGCGCGCTGCTGGCCGCCCGCTCCAGTCTGGAGCTCTGCCTCTTCGCCTTCTCCAGCCCGCAGCTGGGGCGCGCCGTGCAGCTGCTGCACCAGCGTGGGGTGCGTGTGCGGGTCATCACCGACTGCGACTACATGGCCCTCAACGGTTCGCAGATCGGCCTGCTGCGCAAGGCAGGTAAACCGCCGCCCAGGGGCTGAGGACTTATTTGATGCCCCAGCTAACTAAAAGCTAAAACAGGTAGCTTTTCAGGGAGAAGGTGGAGGCAGGCAGGCAGGCGCAGGTTGTGTGGGCCAAGGAGCTGAGGTTTATAGAATGTTTTGGTCTGTCTGTGCTCTCCACGAGAGTAAGGTGTGCAGGAATTCCCACCCGTTCTAGGCTCTGGCCTTGGAGGAGAGGTGTGTATAGACTCGGTTTCTGTGATTATTGCAGGGTGTTGCAGGGTGACAGAAGCGAAGGCATGGAGGATAAACCCATGTTTGAACCCAGGCAGCACTGAGGGACTCTCCGCTGCTTCTGAGTGGACCACAGGGGAGCTAGGAGTGGATCTGTGTGGATGAGTGAGTTTCCCACTAGCTCTGTAGTCACTGGAAAGTGGACTGCACAGTGTGGTGAATACTAGTCAGCCCACTGATGTGGCCAGCCAACCTGCAACTCTGCCCAGACAACAGGTGTGATATCTAGCCTCCCTTGGCCTGTGGCCCCTCTTTTTAGTGGTAGGCACTGCAGGAACGCAAATTTTGACTGCTAGATCCCTCCTTTACCCAAGAGCTATCCCCCCCCCCCCCCCCCGCCGGCTAGTCTAATCATTATGTCTACAGTGACTGACCGGTTTGGGGAGCCCCTGAGAAATGTTGAGGCTTAGAGGTGCTCTTGAGTTTTCCTTGTACACAGCCTGCCCCCTCACTTTCCTGAAATAGTGTAGTTTGGAAACCAGGTCTGCTTCAGGCAGCAAATCGAGAAGAACACCCATAGCACCAACTTGCTGTGTATCAGCCATGTGAGCAGAGCAGAAACTGTCTGTGGCGGCTACTCCCTGCCTCCTTATTTGTAGTCCCAGAGTGATCCCCAGTCAGGTCATCAAGTAGATATCAGGCACGGGTGATGTCATTGTACTTAGATTTTGGAGAGTCATAAAAACCTCAGATTTGGGAAGAACCAAACTGACATCACAGATCCACACAACCACCGATGTTCTGGCTACAGCTGGGTGAGTTCCAGATTGTTATCAACAAGTACACCACCAAGTGTCAGTATTTGGTACAGCCAGGTACAAAAAGGTCTGGAAAACTTCACAAAGGAGATCATGCAGGAAGTGAAGTGGCTAGGATAGCTGGAGAGGCACCCAGGGGGGCAGAATGATGCGACCAAGTTATGGACTCGCTTGTCGAACTAAAACAAGAGGTGGCCACTGCCAGACTTGCTGTGACAGCAGATGGGTGGAGTTTGGTGCAGAAGCTGGAGTGGGAGATAGGTAGCATTCTCCTGCCATGTGAAGGACCTGGTTTTTACCCCAGCAGCATCCCTGCCAAAATGTATCCTCAAGAGTAGGAAGGTAAGCCAGAACTTTGCTGAGGATAGCAGGCTCAGTTGTGGTAGTTCTCTCTGTTCAGCTTAGTGAGTGAGGTACCCTGGGAGGTGTGATTCAAATTGGCTAGCCAAAACCCATGTGCACTCCTTTCCTGCCCAGGCGTCTGTCCTCCAGCTTATCCATTCCAGTGAGTGACAAGAAAGGCAAGGGTGTGTCATGTGGCTGACTCCTTTCTCTGAAGGATATTTAGACTTTGGCTTTAGTGGAGTTGGTGTGGGTGGGTTGTTTCCCTAGAGAAGTGTTTGGTGTCACCCAGAGTCCTTACTTTCTGTGTGCTAATCTGGATGAGAGACTGCCTTCCTGTCATCTCAGTAACACCCTGGGACAGCCCCTGGGTTTCCTTGTATAGCCAACTGAGGACATGAGCAGGCTTGGGGGTAGCTGCACCTGAGTGGTGTTATAAAGGCTGCCTTGGCTTCACAGGTATACAGGTACGTCATGACCAGGACCTTGGCTACATGCACCATAAGTTTGCCATTGTTGACAAGAAGGTGCTCATCACTGGTTCCCTCAATTGGACCACACAGGCCATCCAGAACAACCGTGAGAACGTTCTGATTATGGAGGACACAGAGTATGTGCGGCTGTTCCTGGAGGAGTTTGAGCGCATCTGGGAAGAATTTGACCCCACCAAGTACAGCTTTTTCCCCCAAAAGCATCGAGGGCACTGACCCTGCTCTGTGCTGCTCAGTCTTCCAGGTTGTCCTTGTGATGTTCCCTCCTGCTATGAACCAGACTTTCCTGGCTGTCAGGGAGCAGTCCTGGGTGCACTGGGCTGATATCTTCCTTACTTGCATCATCACAACAGAAGTCAGGAAAGAGGCGACAGTGTGGCCAGTGCTGTAGGCTGTCCTATAGCAGTAGTTGCCTAGATAGGCAGACCATCCTCTCTAAGTGGCTTCTGGGCATCACCAGACATGTCTGACAGTGTTGATCCTCTGCAATTGGCCTTGCCTCCTTGTGGTGTTAGTCACTGGTGAGCACTACTTAATTGTCCAAACCCCTCTAGAGTAGTACTGTGAACTTAGAAGTGACCTCCCCTCTAGCACCTGTGTGGACTTGTAGGTTTTGCTCAGTCTTGGACCAGGAATTGATGACAAAGGGAGTACTTGGAGGTAAGAGCTGCCCAGGCTGTGATCTCAGCTCAGCTCTGGGGTGGCCATTCCCAGGGGGTCAGAGGAACAGTTTCTCATATACATTTGTGACATGCTCCAAATTGTTTTTTTATGTTTTTATATGCAAACAGCTCAAGTGACCTAAGAGCTATAGTTTTGTCACTGGTCATGCTTGTGTTCACGACAACCTCCATGTGTCCCTTAAAGGCAGTCTGAGTGGATGATGTGTCCTTTAGCTCATAGAACCATTAGTAGCAGATACTGGTCAATACAGGTGTTTTCTTTCTTTTGTATGGAGGGAGGGGTGATAAAATGGGGTTTTACCATGTAGCCCTGGCTGGTCTTCAACTCAAAGATCTGCCTGATTCTGCCTCAGGTACTGGTATTAAAGACATGTGCCACCATGCCCCGCTGTTCTCACCCTTTTTTAATGTTACCTTTACTTAGTGTTAGACAAGTAAACTTGATGTTGATTTTCCAAAAAGATTTAACAGAAACTGTAAAGGATAATATTCAGAAGTAGTTACGTTAGGTAAGTTTCTTCCCTTCTGGAGCTTGTAAATTCTTAAGTGTGTGCTTAGCTGGGGGGGGGGGGAAGATCATAAAATGTTATTTGAGTGACAATGCCATTGGGGACCTTGAACTTCTGGCATATTTCAATAAATATTAGAATATCAATTGTTACTTGTCTGCCTTAGTCTGCTGCATTCAGATATGGCTATTCTTAAAGCATTGTGGGGATAGTATATAGCTATTTAGACACCTGTGGTGAAGACAGGAGTCCCTAGGAGAGCAATAGCACTTAAAGTAGTAGTTACCTCCTGGCTAGTGTGTTTTCCAAACAGCCAAGCTCCTCTCTAATATTATTTCTAGCCCTTCCAGAAAATGAAGCATGATTCCTAGCTGTTTCTCTTTGTCATCTGCCTGATGGTATGTCTTTTTTGACTCCTGCCCCCAACCCTTCCAGAGAAGGCTGGTATCTACATGACAGCATGTGGCTGTCAGGGGTTAAGTAGCTTTGTTGAGTTATCTGCAAGAATGTATTAAGACTTGTGAAGGGACATTACTACATATATTTATGTGTTTTTTTGTTTTTTTTTTTGAGACAGTCTCACTATATAGCTCAAGCTGCCCTTATATTCCTGCCTCCACTTTCTAATTACTGGGAGTACATAAATGTACTACCACACCCACACTGAATGCTATGAGGTAGGGGCATAGTACACATGCTATCTCCCTTGTCTCAGTACCATTAAGGTTTCCCCTAATGAATAGTATTAAAACCTTTATTGAAAATCAACTGATCATTTAATGGTTTCTGTCTGGGTTCTGCATTTTCTCACTGTGGTAATACCAGCAGCAGTCCAGATTACTAAGAACAACAGAAGTATGTCTTGAGAACTAGCAACACAAGTCCTGTTTCCAACATATTATTAGTCTTTTACATTTTCATGTGACTCTTAAGATGACACCGATCTGGCAAAAATTAAAGCATCTAGGACTTTGGTAGGGATTATGTTGAACCTGTAGATTAAGTTGAGGTTACCATCTTGAATTTTATGACCCACGAGTGTGGATATCTACTATAGCTTTAATTTCTCCTGATGCTTGTAGGTTTCCTGTTCTTCACTCAGATTTGTTGGGTAGCCAAGGAGACACAAAAGCAATTATATATGAAAGAGATGAAACACTTCTAATGGAAGCCTGTCCGGTTCTTGGAATCACAAATGAAAGAAAAACACCTTAGGAAAATAAGAGACCCTTCTAGCCTGTAAGGGGGGGATGGATGGCCAACCCGGAACAGGTATTGAGATGAAAATAGAAGTCAGTCTGGGTTAACATGGTACTCAGCATGAACTATATTTGTTTTTCCTTTTCCTCTTTTCCCATCTTTGGACTTAATTTACCTTTACTGTCCAGGGCTGTTCAATACACTTCTATATTTGCTTGCATTTTGTCTTGGTGTCATATGCAGAACTAGGTCCTTATGTTATTTTAGGGTTTTTTGTTTTGCTTTGTTTTTTTCCTGTCTTTTGAAGGACTTTTGATCTTTTAATGTTGGTATTGATGGTGTTGAGTCTTTGCCATCTGTTTTTTTTTTTTTTTTTTTGGCTGGAGTATCTTATGTCAACGTTTGTAGTTTTAAGTATGACTTATTACTCAGGTTACTGTAAATGTAATTGCTTAATTTACTCCAATCTTCAGAACTACTGTGTAGAAATATAACTGAGCCCTGTATCCTAACTTTAGGAATCTAGGAGTGACAGCTGAATAAAAAAAATGAAATAAAAGGAGGACATGACTACTCCTAAAATATGGAGAAGACTTTTATTGTAGGTATGAAGGAGAAAGCAGGCAGAGGGGAGTCCAGGCTGAACATGGCTGGCAGACTAAACATGAGGAATCACTGACCAGGAGACCAAGACCAGAGTAAGCAAGAAGCTGAGTCATATAGGGATGGGGTGTGTGTGGGGGTGCAATCCCCATTAGGGAGAGATTTAGGATAGGAGCAGGTTGAGAAGTGCTGGGAGGAGCCACAGGGACTGAGTGATGATGAGGGTTGGGAGACAGCTGGCCAGCATCTTCTTTGTTATGTTAATATGCACCTTCCCAGGTTTCTGAAATCTAATACTAACAACACACACTTAATATTTAATCCATTTTAAAGGAACAGTTTTACACCTTCCCTTTTAGTCAGTGCCTTTCTCAATGAACTGCTTGGTCTAGATACTTTGTACCATTTTGTGAATGAAAATAGGGAAAGATGTCCCTAAGGAGATCTGGATTCTTGGGAAATGGCATTCTTTAATTACTGAGTATGATCATTTTGGAGGGAAGGGAGATTCTTTTCTGTTCCTGGTTTTTGATTTTTGTTTCTCTGTGTAGCCCTGACTGACTTGGAACTCTATAGACCAGACTGGTCTTGAATTCAGAGATCCACCTGCCTCTGCCTCCTGAGTGCTGGGATTAAAGGTGTGTGCTGCCTCACCCTTCAGATACTTTTAAAATTTTAATCATGAGTGATCAGCTTGCCAACTAATTTTAAATTGCACTTACATATCAGTCTAGTTCCCCAAAGTGTTTTGGTATACATTTGTTTACAATAGCTTTTAGTGGACAAAAAGCTATTGAAAACCACCTAAACAAATGCAATAACAATAACATCCTAAAAATATTTATTCTTGTATGTCTTTTTATATCTGTTTTACTGTTTTATAATATAAACTAAAGTTGATTTCTAATTGGTGTAGAAACATTTTTATATTTTCAATCAGTTTCACATACTTTTATAAAGTTTGTGACAATATTGAAAAAAACCTTGAGGTTTTGGGGACAGATAGGGTCTTGCTATGTAGTCCAGGCTAGCCTCAGACTCTGAATTCTCTTCCATCAGCCTCTGCAGGGCTGGGAGTACCAGGCTGGCTGCCATTTTGTATGGTCTATTTTACTATTCTAAATCTACTGAACAAAATGTTTTAAAAAAAATGCAACAAACATCAGGAACGTATCATAATTAGAGGACCCTATTTTGTTATATTTTGGGTTGTCTATTTTAGATTATGTTGCTTTAAAAAACACAGGCTTAATTACATTGAAAGTAAATTCACCAAGGACAGGTCTGATGCAGTGGCACACACTTGTATTCAGTGAACTGAAAATGAGGTCAGCCTGAGCTGTATATAACTCCAGGGCTCCTGTGGTAGAGGGACTGTCCAGCATGCTTGAGGCCCTGGGCTCCAGCACCACAAAATAAAAACCCAAGAAAGCTACTATAAGACAGTTACATACAGTAATTTGATTAATGAAGGAATCCCCGCTGGAATTTTTTTTACTCTTCTTTTAACCCCTGAAGTTTCTATACCAAGTCAGAGTACCTTAGATTCTAGACATAAAATATTATGGCTTATGTGTGAAAATATAAAATCTAATGTAAATATTGCAAAAACAAAGAGAAACTGTAGAAGGCAAGCAGCAGGTGAAAAACTTAGATGATGGCCCATTCTGGGCTGCTAGTTAGTTTATGACTAGGACTTTAGGTTCTGGTTCTCGCCTGACTGAGTCAGCACTCATATGCATGCAGAGGGCAATGCAAAAATAGTTTATTATGATACAGTTCATGTAAAATCAAGCAGTATTTACACAATAAAAATGGTTAGCTATAGCCAAGGACTCTAGCTTGTCACACAAAGGAATAAATATTTCTACAAATTAACATTTCAATTATAGTGAACACCTGACCACAACTTTGTAGGAAACACCTCACACTAAAGCGTAAAATGTTTGAATGAGGAGTTTAGGGGACATTTTTATTTGCCAGAGGCCACACCCTATGCACATAAACTGAGGCCTAAGCTGGTTCTGGAAGCTGTGCTCATAGGCTCCCTGGCTCAATGAGGGTCCATTTTCTTCTACTCATAACTTTTAGTCTGGCAACCAGATTGGCTGTATCAGAACAGAAACTAAATGCCAGGTGAGATGGCGCAAGTATGCGACTGCTGCAGAGTGGCCCTGAAAGATGCTCTGTTCACAGACACACACTCCAGCCCTGTCAAGCGCTGTAATGGAAGGTCACCTAGAATTCTGATTGTCAAGGAGCCACTGTGACTGGGATGCTTACTATTCTACATAGCACACCCACAGAAAGCCACATACCACAGAACTGGTTTTGAATCCTGGCATTAAAGCATTAACACCAAAGGTAGATCTTAAAGTGATTTATAATCCATTTAAATTAAAGTCTGTGATAGAAACTAATAGTGAATTTAGTGTTCTTTATAACCTATTCCTAGTTAAAATAAAACTGGATATGTGGTATGACTAACTTCTAAAGGAGAGATGAGCCAAGAGCATGTTGACTGGCAAGCTAGAGTGGGCTGTGTCAGCTAGGATTCTTACAACTGCACCTCTTTATGGCAAATGCTGCCTATGGAGTCCTCCCCCCACCATGGAAGCTGCCAGGGTCACCCGTGACCCACAGAAACTGGACAGGCCTTGAAGTCTTTGGGCTATCTAGTTTTTAAACTCTAGTGATGGGCTAGCTCCTTACCAGTATCACAGAAATACAGCCAGGGAGCTGCTTGGACTCCGGTGCTATATATAGCCAGGTAGCTAAATGAGAAACTGGTGGTCAGGCTGCTCTGCACACAATCCAGCCCCACAGTTCTGTCAGAAGCTAGGTGCCTGGACTTGAAGCAGCCTATAACCTCAGCCAGTTCCCCTAACAAAAATTACACTAAGAAGCCTGAAGACTGGGTGCCAAAAGTCCCTCATTATTTCTGTTTTTCTTTGAGTGGCTCTACCAGTCTCGGAATGCTTTCAGTAGCAGCCAGGGTACTGCTAAGGGCCTGCCATGAGTGTGGGTTAATGGGATAGCCTGCAAAGCATCTGTCAAGTAACTAAAACCTTTAAGACAATGGTTATTAACTTAGTCTTCTGTTGTTTGGGTTGTTTTATTTTTAGATGGGGTTTCACTGTGTAGCTCTGGCTCTTCTGGAACTCACTATGTAGACCAGGTTGGTCTTGAACTTAGCTTGTCTCTGCCTTCTGGATTAAACGTGTGAGCCACCACACCTAGCTAACTCCCAGTCTTATGTTTGAGTGGGGTTGCACAGCACTGCTCTCCACACTGCCTAAAAGGGGTGTCTAGACAAGTTGTTTTAAAAACTCAAACTTTGCACTGAAATCCCTGCATCATGTTTCAAATAGTTACTACTACATGCTCTGAGCTACAGGAAAGGCTGAGTGCCCTGAGAAAGGCTGGGAAAGGTGATGTTTATAGCCTAGCAAGAGCTAACTCTCTTGCTTTTGGTGTAGGCCAGTCAGCCTACAGCAGGTAATTGGTGTTCCCTCCATCAGGAGAGTCTGTGGTTTGGGTATGCAGCTTGCATCGGATATTTGCATGGAGGCAGGAGTGGGGACCCCAGAGTTCTCCTTGATGTCAGGTTGCATGGGGCCTTTGGGTGCTTATTCAGCCTGTTTTGGGGAGCCAGGATACGGTTAGAGGTCAGGAGAAAGACCACTTGGTGTGTGGGACAGGGCTGCAGAAATCTCTGCACTGATGCCCAGGTCCACACAAGCAGTAAGCCTCGTGCTATCCAGCCACTCCCTTCAGTACCAGCTAGGTGTCAGCAATGAGTATGTTCAATTCTCTACAGTTCCAGGGTAGAAGACAATGTGCCATCTCCCTCTATAGGGAAGCTAACAGTAATACACACTCCATCAAATATCTTTCACACCAGTTTTGTTTCCTAGTCAAGTCTTTCAGGCTCCTTTTCCACACATTTCTGAAGCTCACAAGTGTGCTCTTTGTAGTCTTACACATGCTAGGTGGGCACTTTACTATTATTAAGCTATATATACAGCCTTAGCCCATCTGTATTTTGAGTCAGAGCCTTGTTACATAGTTCAGGACTTGGAGCACAGGCATATACCACTACACCCAGTTCAGTGTTCTGCTGTTGGACCCAGGAGAGGTTCAATTCTGGCTTCAGCTTTCACTCAGTGAATTCATACATTCCTAGCCTGCTTCTGCTGGAGATCCCTTACTTTATGAGGCCCTGGCTTCCTCTGGTCTCCCTGAAACAATGGGCCTCCCATTATGGTCCTGGCTCTGTGGACACCACCAAACTAAAAAGTCTGCTGTTCTGTGTGACAAATGTGTTCTCTGCTCAGGTGCTGGGCACCAGACATGTACAAGATGTAATTTAAACATGTATTCATATCAACTGTCATATGATGTCAGGCAGGTTCCCTGTAATGGCAATATGCTTGCAGATTACAAATGTTTATAAGAGAATAAAATTTAGTTGGGGAAAGCATGCCATTGCCTAGGCTTGGAACAGCCTGAGGCTTCTTGATCTACAATACCCCATCCTCAACCAAACATCTTCCTCTACTGATATCTGGACCAACTCTATTTGTACATTTGATGCCTCCTCTCTGGAATACACCAACTTCAGCTTCTTTTCAGGGAATGGGATGCCTGTAAGGAGGTCAGGCAAAAGCGAGCCCTGCACAGCCTGGGGGGGAGGAAAGAAAAATGCTGCAGTGGGCATGCATGACCACCAGGGACACAGAAGGCCAGCTTCTTTCCTGGTTCACTTCTGCTGGAAGTCACTGCCAAGAAACTCAAGATGCACCCTGATCCACATCTTACTGCTCAGAGTGGCTTGGGCAGTGGGAGATGATCCAGGCATCCTGGACTGTGCAAGTTTAGTATCTGGCCAACATACCACACAACCACACATGAAATCAGCCCTAGGCAGAGTGTGCTGTAATGGCAAGTGAACCTTCACTTGAGTGGCAGATGCAATAGGTATAGCTTATCTCCTAGCCCTTGCCTCTGATTTCCAAGTACTATACTTAACAAAGGTCAAAGGGTTCTGAGGTGAAAAGCAAAAAAAAAAAAGTTCTTTTGACCTGTAGGCTTGGCATCTTGAGAAGGTGCTGTGGCAAGTCAGGGAGATGATTTCACTGGGGCCAAAGGGTCCCAAGGGCAGCAGGACAGTTGCAAAGGAAGCACATCAGAGAGAACAGTAGGTCCTCAATACAAACTACAGCCTCTGCATCCCAGCCATGCACATGCTACCATGGCCCACTCTGAGCTCAAAACACTGTTTCACCAACAGTTCTGTTTTAACAGCTCTGACTTGCCCAATGTCAAAAGCAAATGGTAACTGAGCAGCTAGTATGTGCCAGCGAGGAACTTAAGCTCAAGGGCTTGTCTGTGGGATAGTAGCACATTTGCACATGTCACAAAGCAGTTATCTGGGGTTCTGCCTGTCTACTTCAAGGCCAGCTAGATACTATGGATGACCTTGAACTCATGTAGAACTGACTGAGGATATTTATACATAAGTTTAATTTGTGTACCCAGAGACCATCTGACTGACTCAACACTAACAAAGTGGAAGTTCAAGCCAGGGACCTGGGACTCAGGACAGTGGGATCTAGTTATAAAGCCATTGACTCTCCCATCTGACATGGGGCTCTTTTGTATGCTATACCTTATGGTATGAGAGAGAGAGAGAGAGAGAGAGAGAGAGAGAGAGAGAGAGAGAGAGAGAGAGAGAGAGAGTGTGTTTAATGAGAACAGAAACCTCTAAATTGTTTTCTTTCTTTTAAAAAAGAAAACACTGTAGAATGCTTTGAGTAGTTAGAAAGGTCTTATTCAGCTAGTTAGAAAAGAAAACTTGTTAGCATAGGTTCCCTGCTAATGGCTCCATGAGAAGCAGACACTTCAAGGGAACCTTCCAGAGCTCAGACAAATCAGAGTCCTGAGCACATGCTGCTATTGGTAGCAGCCCTGTCTTCACACACAGGTCTCCTCTCATCCCTTCCCCAAGCAACATTGACAACTTCTTTTCAGACAGGTTAAAGCCCAGCAACTTGCCCCCTCTAGATGGCCCAGGGGGAGCATCACACTTGACAAGCCTGAAGGTGCAGGCTGCAGGTCACCATTCTCAGCCACCAGAGGACCAGGGTTAGGAAGGCAAGGGAGGCACGAGCGGAGGAAGGAATGAGAGGGGCCCGGGCTTTTGTGCAAGATTTAATAAAAAAACCAAAATAGGAATGGTTGCTTTCAACATTTTCCAGGTTGTGAAAGATTTGCCAGGATTATCTGGGGTATGGTTCTAAGCTGCATCAGTGGGCCAAATACAAAATGCTGTCCTTCCAGGTCAAAAGGAAGTGGGGACAGGCTGGACACTATCCAAGGCCCCTCAACAACCAGGCCAGACTAGAACATTCTGTGGCTCTGCTCTAACCAGCAGGGGCGGTGCTCAGCTGGGTGCCGTGGAGCAGAACCATTGGCAGGTCCCCACGGGTATGCTCTGAGGCAGGGTAGCTTATTAACAGGCTGCTGTGCCTTAATACTGTCAGTGAGTGTGATGGGAGGACAAAGGGGTCCTGCTCAGATGTCAGTGGGGAAGCCCTCCTCACTGCTGCTTGAGCGTGACTAATCTGAATACCATGGGGAAAAAGCTGTGATAAAGACAGACAATGGAAGTTGGAATCAACAGGGAAGGGAATGGAGCAAACACCCCACACAGCAGTCTCTCATGCATCCATACCCACAGTTAACGATGGCAACAGTGAAAAGCACAGATGCAGATGAAAGCCCCACAGGGCTTGTGCTGCCACCAGCTGGGAAGGATGTGTTGGGTGGATCAGGACGCAGCTAGTCTTTCTTCAAGTCCCTGGACTCGAAGAGCTTTAAGCGCTCTTGCACCGTCAGGCCTTCCTTCAGACTCTGGTGGAGACAGCAGGAAGAAGGAACAATTAGGTGCTGCTGGAGCAGTGGCAGCTGGGATTCAGGAGCAGGTACAGGTGCGAGGCTGAGGGACCCTCAGATTAGTGGGCATGCGAGGGCCGAAGGCCCTGAGAAGTAGTGTTACTGGAGTTGGCTTTCTCCTGCAGAAGTTTACTTGGGTGAGAAAAGGAAAAAATAAAGAGAAACAAGATCATGTGTCTACATAGCTCAACTCTGGCCTTATGGCTGGTTCTTCCTTCAGACTGACCAAACCATAAAAAACTTGGACTGAGAACTGGAAACCTGGACACCTGTCACTTTTCCTGTATAGGGAATATGTATGTATGTCTCATTTCTTTGTCTTCATGGACTCATGGCCTTAAGACAAGTGTTCTGTTCTGGGGCATCCTGGTGGCACCATAGCTGGTGCCACCAGATAGAGCTATTAACACTCTGCCCAGAATATTTATCACTTCTCCCTTAAACATCTTTCCCAAAGCTTTCATTTCTGGGAGAGCAAAGAAACCCTGGTTCTTAGAGAATTGACAATGGACATATTTTAGCATGCCCAGGTCTGGCTCTGGCTCCATAGTACCTGCTCTTTTTGGCAATCAGCCTGGCCGTGAATGCAGGTTGTACTAGGAAATGGGAAGTCAGGGGTGTTTTTGGAGGTTGAGACCCAGCTTTCTGCAGGGAATGAAGGAGGATCTGGGCTGTGGTTTTTGCCCCTTACCACCAGCTTCCCCATAATAACTGAGGAGTTTGACAAATGTGAATAGTGATACCCATACCTGCTTCAGGGTATTGTTTTTTTGTACTAACAAGGTATGTGTATGTGAATAGTGATACCCATACCTGCTACAGGGTATCCTTGGTGTGCCCTCCCCATCCTCCCCGAGTTCAGGGGTAGCCAGACTCCCAAGAGATATTACATAGGTCTTTTGGCTTACCACCCAGCACCTGGAGCAGGGCCTGGGTGGCAACTGAACCCCATGGCAGGTGTGAGCACAGTCACAGATGGCACTTACTACCATTCTCAGGGCAGAGAGCAGACACCCATTGTCCTTTATACCCTGGGAAGTGCCATCTCTCCGAAGTGTCTGGCCTCAGGTGTAGCCAGGTACCTTCAGGGTTCAGCATCCCACACCCACGCATCCCATGACAACACCAAAGTGAGAATCCTCTCTGCTCTGGGTCTCAGAAGAGGCTATGCTGCTGCTAGGAGAGCTGACTGGGGCAGGAAAAGAAAGAGCACCTAAGGAAGGTCCCAGTCAGGACATGACACAGGGTTCAGTCTCTCTACAGGGCTGATGGGAACTCCAGTTCACTGAGACAGCATGAGCATGCTGCCCCCACTGGGCAAACCAGTGGGGATGTTATTCTGAGGTCAGATATAAAGCACAATAAAGTAACTGGGCCACCATGCAAATTCTTGCAAATTCTAACAAATCCCGTGAGAAGCAGTTCTTGGGTCTCCTCTGCCCTTCTGGAAACCGGCCGGCCTTTCCCACCTATCATGGCTCTAGTGACCCTTATCAACACAGAAGCTCCCAATGGCTCACATGGCTCTTTGCCATAGAGATCTAGCCAGGACAGAGGACCCTTGTTCTTTGGCACCACCACAAGCCAGTACTGAGCCCTGTGTCTGTTTATATCCCCACAAGTTCATATGTAGGTGTATACCTCACTGTATTATCTCCCACATGGTGTCCTCCTTGGACATCCGTTCTCATTCCGGCCCAAAGGCCCCACTTACAAAGACCACTGGGCTCTCTGGGGGCTCAAGGGCAAGAGCTGAGTTTAACCTCAGGCCTGAGAAAGCAGTCTCCAATATGAAAACAATGAGCCCAGAAACTTCCTCTCTTACCAAAGGAAACCTAGTTTATGAAAAACTAAGTTTTTAACCTTGCATAAACCACATCTGCATATAAGTCAACATGGGACTAGAGAAAACAAAAACAGACTGGTTAAAAGAACCAATGATGCCAGGTGGCAGCACCACACACCTTTAATTCCGGCACTGGGGAGGCAGAGAAAGGTGGATCTCTGTGAGTTTGAGGCCAGCCTGGTCTACAGTAGTTCTGGGATAGCCAGGGCTACATGGAGAAACCCTGTCTTGAGCCCCCTGTCCCCCAAGAGCCACTGTTAAAAACTCTTGGGCATTCTCCATACTCTTCCCTAAGGCAAACTGTTTCCTCTGAGCCTCAAGGTAATGGCCCTAGCTGGAAGGCAGGAGGGCTCATGTACAGCAGGAACCAGCATACCTGGGTACTACCAGTGAGAACAGTCTAGAATCCTTGAGCTGTTATCATTCCGTAAAGAAGTCAACACAGCATCCCTAGGACTGACCTCAACATGGCCAACCCTATCACTTTTGTATCACATAAAGACATACACCAAAAAAAAAAAAAAAAAAAAAAAACCCCAAAACAAAACAGGTCATGTTGAGCCCCACGTATAAGATTGCCAGGCCCTTAAGAACAAAATACTTCCTCAGACTCTACCCATGCTGTACACAATGGGGATCTGCTCTATCTTCAGACATCTCCTACAAGCAGCCTTGCTGCTTACTGGATGGGTGAGGTCTTCCACAAGAGCAAACTGCTTGCTAGCGTCAGTGGGTATCTGCCATCTCCCTGCAACTTGTTTCCAAGAGAGGAGACATGAACTTGGTGCCGTGCAAATCACCCAGTATGCATGCTGGCTTGTGTCCTGTCAAGCAGGGGAGGCCCTGGGCAGGCTCAGTTCTCTGAGGAGGTTAGAGTGCCAACTTCCAGGACAGTTACTGAGATCTCATGTGGACTCTGTGTGTGTTGGGGAAGGATGAATGAAGACATTACACAGAGGTGTGCTATGGAGGTGTGAGCAGTGCATGCAGAGCCGCCTGGGCGGGTAGTGGGCAGAGTGAGAAGTGGTTTACCTACACGACAGGGGACTTGGAAGCGGGCGCGACTCAGTTATCCCATGAGACCTGCTCAATTACGGACTGTCAGAGGAAAGAGCAAAAATAAGACACACACACAATCAGTTCTAAATGCAGCATGCTGGCCAGGCCCTCTCCGCCCATCCTCCCAGAGACATGCCCATCTGAGAGCACACTGGGGATCATTGACTTCATCTCTCTAAGGCTGGCAGTGTCAGTGTGGTAACAGGGATGTGCAGAGAACAGACATACAGTGGAGCTGATGAGAGGTCAGATCTACCTCACCTTCTGTGAGGCTTAAGTCCAAATCCCTCTATGTCTTGTTTCTTGAAGCCCTGGCCCCTAGATGGTTCTGATGACATGGAACATAGACATGGTCATGGAACTTGAAGCCACTAGAATCATCCCAACAGGGTGACTACATTAGTGGGCTCATGTCTGTACTGGGCTTGACTTCTCCAGCATCCTCAAGCCCCATCTCAACCATAAGCTGGACCTCACTCACCTTGGACCTGATGTTTCTGAGTTGCCTGGTAACACAGGATCTGTCTTTTTTCAGGAAGTCAGGATTGCTTTTAGATTTCATGATGTCTGAAGAAACAAAAAGGCTCATTACTCTTGCTTTCTACAATCTTCTGAAACCAAACAGAATGTGTGGGAGGTTTCAAGTCCACTACTAGGTGCCCCAAAACATCTAAGTCCAAGTAAATAACCAGTCCAGAGTATGCCCTTCTTGGACACCAGCAAGCACCTGAGCACTGGGTTCCCACCAGGGTTTAAGTCATAACTCCTGAGTCACACAGCACTGTCAACAGAGGACAGGGTCTCTTACTTCTGAGTTGGACCTTGACTGCTGGGCAGACCAATTGATCTCATTATTTCTAGCTTACTCCTTGCATAGGACTGGCATACAATAAAATCAGACCAAATCCTCATGACACACCCCATCAACATAGTCCTTTCAGTGTCTTAAATCCAGATGACAAAGATGCACACTGGGTCAAACCACAGTTCATCATGGGTATGTGGCTTCCATGCTTGTGCAGTAAAATTTCACGACTTCTCTTTACACCAACAGACAAACATCTCCCTGTCTTCATAAGGCTATACACTTTGTCACTGTGCAGCTTCTAACAACCCCAGTTATCCCTGTGTGCTGGACTGCTGTCCATGGATGACACAGCATGCTGTGCACTGTGCCAGGCTGCTGCTTGTGGCACCTGTCTGCAGATTCAGTGCCCTATGCACACTTTTCAGGCATTATTTGCATGGCAGGTCAAGAGCTTCCTTTTGGCTTCTTGGTTCCTACCCTTTTACAGTTAACTAGATTTTATATTGTGCTGTTGTTGCCAGTTGTCGTCCAGACACAATGCTTGTATTCCACAAGCAATGCAGAGGACTTGTCTGCAGGCACATGTGTGGGCTGCCATGGTTACTGTCCCCAAACTTGCTGGCAAAGGAAAGCTGAGCTGCAGGATGTTACGGGACTTGAACAGATTTTCGGTTTGTGGGACTTTTATAAAAGGTCACCATGAACCTAAGGTGAAATCATGAATTATCAGAAAGTGTCCAACAGAATGTGGCTCTGCAGCCTCTTTTCCCTCTGTCCTCCACAGTACCTGGATATTTTCAGCCAGCACAGAAACAGTCTGTTCTCAAGGGTTCTCAAGGGTAGTCGGTTCCCCTATTGGTTCTGCTTGTCTGTGGCCCTTGAAGATTTTATGGTTTAAAACATTTGGATTCAGGAACTAGCAAGAACTTCCTCTACCTGAGTTTCTCAGCAGACAGAATCTAAGACTCCTTGTTACTGTGGAAGAACTCTGTAAAGCAGCTGCAGGACATGGGAGGCACAGGTCCTGTGGGCAACCTCTGTATGTAGGGCTTCTCAAGGAGATATGGAATGCCACAGGATATTAGAATTTTTGAGCTTTGAGTCAAGTGCCAAAAAAATCTTTGACACTGGGTGTGGTGGTGCATGCCTTTAATCCCAGCAGAGGCAGGCAGATCTCTGTTAGTTTGAGGGCAGCCTGATCCACAGAGTGAGTTCCAGGATAGCCAGGAGTGTTTCACAGAGAAACTGTCTCAAAAAACCAAAATCTTTATCAGTATCACCCCGATTGCTCACCATATCCTGACACAGTAGTGCCCTCAGGAGATTTCTCGCCCAGGGCCTCTGTGGCTGCTTTTAGCTGCTCTTTCAACCTGCTGATATCACAGTCAGCTTTGGCCTTTGCAATGCTGAGCTCTGTATAGATGTCTTTGTACTTGTCACTAGCATACTTCTTATCCTAGAGAATAAAAGGACAGAAATGAATGGCAGTTGTAGACAGGGATTAGACTCATTCTGAACTCTAGCTTTGGTGATAATGTGCTGGGAGAAGTAACTGGCTTGGAAATGACCCTATGCCCTCTCTCTCCCACAGCCCAGGACTGAACACTAAAGAAAACATGCAGTGACCAGGGCAAGCTCAGGCAGCCTGCTGTAGTTCTGTCTGCACTATCACTGCCTTGTGGGTGTCGGCCAGTAAAAGCCTCTGGTTTTTAGATTTTCTAAGTGACCTGATCATACCCAAGGATCACATCACTTTTTTCTGAATCCAGGAATCCCTTTGAGACCAGTCCAACTAGACCCACCTGGACGGTAGATCAAGTCTCCCTTCACCCCCATGACATTCTTCTATGTGTCCCTGTTCTATCCAAATGCATAGAAACACAGGAACAACCACCACCTAAATAGGTCAGGGAGGCTTAACTCCTAAAGCATATGCCTACAGGCTGGTGTTTTAAGGGAACTCGACTTTGGGGCCATGATCCTGTAGCATGGCCTGCCATGCCAAAATGAGCCCAGTGGGACCTGGCCAGGCATTCACCCTGCCCTGCCCTGCCTCCAAACACGTTACCCTTACCCGAAGGGCTGTCTGTAGTTCATCCTTGAGGGAGCTGATCTCCTGCTTCAGGTACTGTATTTCTGACTCTTTGACCCGCAACAAGACCTTTAAGGAGAGAGAAAATGAGGACTGGCTATTGGGAACTGGGGATTACTGTACTCTGTGCATACAGAGGATGGCTGGCAGACAATTGTTTCATATACCAGGGAGGAGGAGGAGAGCTCATCCTTGCTGACACCCAATAGAACACATGATTTAAAAACTGCTCAATGTTTGTACAGAAATGGGAAGGGAAATGACTTTGCTAGTCTTCCTACTCCTGAGAACCTGGGGCAGCAGACATGGGAACTACCTTGAGTTCCCACTACTGACTTGCTTGTTCTCTGAAGATGGAACTCAAAGGCCTAGACACACTGTTTTTATAGGAACTTCTGCCAACCTTACCCAGCTCCTGCTCACCTGTCTGAACCATCTATGAGGGAAAATCTTAACCTAATGGGAGCCTTCTTGAGGATGCCCTACACCAGTGGTTCTCTACCTTTCTAAGGCTGTGACCCTTTAATATATATAGTTCCTCATGTTGTGGTGACCCCCCCAACCATGTCATTATTTTGTTGTTACTGCATAACTATAATTTTGCTGTTATGAATCATAATATAAATGGCTGATATACAGGGTATCTGTTATATGACCCCCACTGTAGAAGGAAGTTTCTGTCCGGCCCAGTCCCCCAGCTGTTGAGTCCCAAATAAACACACACAGAGGCTTATATTAATTATAAACTGTTTGGTCAATGGCTCAGGCTTCTAATTGTCCAGTTCTCTCTTATTAACTCATTTCTATTAATCTGCGTTTCTCCACGTGGTCTTGGCTTACTGGTGATGCTGGGACTTCTTGCTTCCTTGGCAGCTACATAGTGTATACTTGACTCCTATTACTACCTTTATTTATCCCTGTTTGATTTTCCACCTGCTAAACCCTGTCTGTTCATTGGCCAAAACAGCTTTATACATCAACCAATAAGAGAAACACATATTCAAGCATACAGAAGGACATCACAGATTGAGAACCACTGCCCTACACACACTAGAGCCTTTCCGCTCTCCCTCCATTTTCAATGGTGTTTTGTTTTTGTTTTTCTTTTCTTTCAAGAATGCTCTGGAATCCTCTTGCTTCAGCCTCCCAAGTAGTTGGGATTACAGGTATATACCACAGCAGAATGAACCCTTCTGACTTAAAAATGAACATCCTGGGCTGAGAAGTTAATTCATGATATAATCTGAGAGCAGCAGCATTCTTGTAGCCCCGAAATATGTCACTTTATGAATCCAGTTTGTGGGCAGGTAAAGGGAAGGTGGGATTGCAGATCCTCATGGCATCTAGAAGGACTCTTGCTCCTGCATATGGACCTTAGACTACCTGTCAGCTAATTTCCTATCTCTGGATGGCTTTGGACCTTCCCACAGTTTTCACACATGCTAGCTTCAAGCTTTCTTTTGTTGTGGTTGTTGTTACAGAGCTAGAGATGCCTAGCTTCTCATAGTACCTCTAATTCGTAGGCATCCTTGCCCTGCGTGAGTGGCAACCCAGTGGACTCCCCACCACCATCTCCAGTCAGTAGTGTCCTCAACCGTGTGATCTCCGCAGCCAGTCGATTATTCAGCTCCTGGGGGACAACAACAAAACAGTGTCTGCCCACACACTCCCTGCTTGGACACCAGAGAAGGTCATTTCTCACCAGCAGTGTGTAGAGGCCTAAGAATGGAGGCTATAAGCCTGCATGTACAGTACCATGTGTAAGGTAGATACCCGAGGCTGGGAGCACATAAAAGCTGCTTATATGGACTTGTGAGGCCATGTGAAGACTTAGATGTGAAGACTTAGGTTTCAGGACCCCTATTAGGCATCAAATTCTGTGGATGCTTAAGTCCCATTACAGAATGGCATACAACATCTGCATACATCCTCCCATATACATTAGGTTACCTCTAGGTTACATCTAATACCCAATACCATGTAATTCTTAAATATTCAGTTGTACTGTATTATTTAGGGAGTTGTGGTAAGAAAAAAGTTAGTATATACCCAGTGCAAATGCTCTTTTCCCCCTTCCTGAAAATTTTCTATCTGCTCACTGTGTCTCTAGAACTATGATTCCATGGACCTTGAAACCCTTCTGAGTCGGGCAGTGGTGGCTAACACCTTTAATCTTGGCACTCAGGAGGCAGAGGCAAATGATTCTCTTAAGTTCAACACCAGCCTGGTCTACAGAGTGAGTGCCAGGACAGCCAGGGCTTTTACACAAAGAAACCCTCTCTTGGAAACAATCAAAAACAAACTGAAAAAACCCCAACCTTCTGTGTGGGCAGTGTTATCTTGTCCCACTTGATCTCTTAAAGGCTATTCTGCTCAGCCCCTCCATTTCTTAGGCCTTCTTTCTGGCTGATAAGTGCTTTTCGTTAAGCTACTGCAGTGGTTCAGTGATCCCAAGTAGTTCCACCCACCATACCACAAGTCTGGAATGATTTGAAGGGCCAGAGAGGGCAAGCATGATAGAGCTCAAGGCAGGCAAAAATAGGGTGTGGAAAAAGAGCTTATACTGAACTCTGTATCACAACCCAATCATTTGGGCCAGCTGGGATTCTAGTGAGCCCCAATGTCCTGAAGAATACTGAATTCTGAGAGCATGACTTACAGAAATAAACATGAGAGCCCAGCCACTAGAGGACAGAAAACCCCAACCCTAAGATGGACCTGAGCTACTCCAATTAGAGGACCAGAGACTTAGAGAAGTGACATGACTCTAAGTCTCTGCAAAAGCAGACGTGGTACCTTGGCTAGGAAACCTCTATGAAGGTGAGGCTTAGCCTCTCTGAGCCTGACCTGATTGTGGGCATTGAGTTCCTGGTTCTCACGCTGGCATTGCCTCAGGGCCTGCCGCTCAGCCTCCAGCGCCTGGGCCAGGTGTGCATTCTCCAGGCACTTCTGGGAGTACTGCTCCGAAAGGACCTCCAGCTCCCTCTGCACTGACTGTAGCTCCTCCCTGCAGAGAGGAAATGTTCAGCCCAGCCCCACCCACTACAGAACTGGGCAGATGCCAGGGACACTTTGCAGAAATGACTCTTTCCTGGGCCACCCACAGCTGGCATACTCTTAATGATGGAACTGGGAGGCAAAGCCAGCCACTGTGACCAGAGAGCTGCCTCATCACTTCAAAGTACAGACACTCAGCATCAGGAAACTAGCTCTGGTACTGTTCTCAGCGTCCCATGTCCAGAAGGGCCAAATCCCCAAGGCAGAGCCAAGAAGGAGCTTCCAGATGAGCCTCCAGTCCAGCAAGCATGATCACTATACTTCATGTGTTGTTGCTTTAGACCCAAGCATGTTCCAGAGGCCCTAGCAAAGTGTAATCAATGGATAACTCTCCTATTACTAACCAGAGGGTCCCCAGCAGAGTTACCCCTGCCCAGGAAAAATTCATAAGGTGCTCTTCCAGTTCTGTACTTGGTGCTGCTTTCTGTGCAGTCAGTATGTGTGAGACTAGAACACTAATGTGTCCACTTTTGCCACAAACAGCTATGGTATATCAGACACAAAGCAGCAGCCAGACCCTGGCTCTTAGTAAGGTACTGATATAGTAGCAGTGGTACAAACTAGGGGATGGCGTCTGCAGTCAACCCTAACAAACAAGGCATTTTGTTTTGTTTTAGAACAGGATCTCCATATGTAGCCCAGGTTGGCTTTGGATTTGTGGCAATCTTCCAGCCTTAGTCTCCTAAGTGCTGTCACCGAGTCTAGCTTAAGCTATGGTTTTTAAATGTCATTTGTTGCATTTGCTTCTCTGTATCTTAGAGATTAGTCTTAATTAACCCTTAGGTGCCCTCCCTTGGCTCCCAGAGAGCAAAGTAGTATGGGCTGTCCTTTGAACCATGGTCTCCTTACTTCCCCAGACCAACCTCAAAGCTATCTTAGGCCTCTCCCACAGGGCTGACCTAGGGCTAGGTGACTCACAGGTACTGTCGCCTCAGGGCTTCGATGTCTGAATTGATGCTGCTGATCTGAGACCGCTGGCTCTTCTCTAATTCCCGTTCCATCTCCTCCCGATGAGCATTCTTCATGGCTTCAATGGCTGCACAAAAGACACAGCCCCTCAGTACTAAAATCTAGGGCTACAACTGCCAGTGGCTCTTTTACTACATTATCCCTCCACAAGGCCAATGGACCTGATGTCTGCCCCTTGGTGACACCAACTCTAGCAGCAGGAGGACTCCACAGAAGGCTGGTCTACCACACACTTGCTGGGGCTGTGTTAGAGCATATCTGTGCTCTGGTGACAAGTATTCCAAGTGATAGACACTTGTTGGGGGCCAGCCCTATAGTGTCAACAAACATCTGTAGCACTGGCTCTCAGTTTGGAGGTTCTCAAAAGGCTTCTCAAGTTAGTCCTTGCCTCACTTTGATCTTCAAGTACCTCTCTCCAAAATGAAACTTAAGGCCAGGACTAGTGCTGATTTGGTCCAGCACCTGCTAGATATGCATGAGGCCAAGTTCAATCTCCAGCAATACAGAGACAGGGTAGGGTGGTACATGCTGTTACTCCAGCACCTCAATTACATAGGGAGTTAAAGAATGGCCTAGGATAGACCCTGCCCATCTATACCCACCACCACCTACAAAGAGGAAACTTCAATCTCAGGGAAAAACAAGGTGAGGAAAATCCTCTTGTGAACCGTAGCAGGCAGGGACATGGGACCCCTGTGCTCATGGACTTAAGCCACACCTGAGATGGTGGCAGCTGTCTCCTCAGCCAGGAGGCGGTCCTTTTCCTCCCGCAGCTTCTCCAGCTCCCGCTGATGTTGCCTCTGTAGATCTTCAATCTTCTTTTGGTGTGTTTCTTCCATGGCAGCAAAGCCTCGCTCACATGTAGCCTGTGGGATGGAAGAGGGCTTATTGGTTTCTTTTTGCCTCCAAGTGGCTGTCTTGTGTAACAAATAAGGCAGTGACCTGCTTGGTCCAGGAAGTGACCAGGTCTCAAGATATGGCAGGTGTTTCTAGCATCAGGCACCATGTCTGTGTGTAGCTAGACACCCTTTGTTCTAGAACTGCGTGTCATCACAACCAAATGGCACATGTACTACCTATACTGGCTAGAGTAGCAGACACACTGGATATTGACAACAGGGACAAATTCTGATAAACTGCTAGTTAGAGAGAGTGAGGTCCATCCTGAAACAAAGGGCAGCCTGACTGGAGAGCCCAACCTATCCTCTATGGGCTGAGGTAGACAGGACCTATTTTTGGGAACTAGGGAGCTTCAGCTGATTACTAAACCTCAAGGGTGTCCACACAGGAGCCAGAGAAGATGACAGCATCTTTCCTGCCAGCCTATGCCTTCTCATTGCCTCTCTTTTAAAGGGGAACAGAGGCATGTTACCCACTGAGAACTGTACCACCTTACCAAGCAGAACAGACATTACATGTGAGTCCCTGTTCCCTACCAAGCAGAACAGACATTACATGTGAGTCCCTGTTCCCTACTCTCCTACAGCTGGGAGGGCCCAGCTGCTCTCCCCAACCAAGCAGTAAGGCATGCCCTGTGCTCCACCTACAGCTTACAGCTACTTGGATGTGGGTCATGCTGTATAAACTTGTGATGGCCACTTTTGGGAAGAACAGGCTTTCTGATAAAACAAACAAACGGGAAGAATGTGGCTCTAGCTCTGTCTTCCTACCTCATCATTTTGCTAATGGGTTCAATAAAGGATTCAATTGCCATGCTCTGACATTTTTTTTTTTTACTGAGCCTCACTCACTGTGGGGCCTTTCCAAGAACCTCTATTAAGTAGCTTTAAATTCCTGCTCATATCCTGGAGTGGACTACAGAGTGTGTGCTGCACTGGTTACCGTCTCCACACATCCTGGAGATAATTTCATATAGCTTGTTTCCTCTTAAAGACTTAGCACAGAATGTTCATTCACTGAGGAACTTCCTGCTTGTGGCAGTCTGTTGGTGCTCAGAATATTCTGGGTTTTGGCACATTTCAAATTTTGAGTCCATCTTACTCTGATTTGAGTATTTTAGAATATGTGAAGATAGGGTCTGAAATTCCTACAACAGAAACACTGAGGTGTCTTTAATAATGAGGTTGCTTTGTTGTTAACTGTATTATGTTTGAAAGTTGCTACTCTGTAAACCAGTTTTAAAAATTTGAGTGTGTATGTGCACATGGAAGTCACGGTTGATGTTTGACATTGTCTTTCCTTGATCACTTCTACCTTATAAAGAACCTCTCATCTGAACCCAGCATTGTTGATTTAGCTAGTTAGCCTAGCTAGCTTTCTTTGGGGATTCTTTATCTCCATCTGCTATGTGCTAGAATTACAAGGGGGCCACACCATACCATGTTCACCTAGCACTTACATGAGTATTAGGGATCCAAACTCCTATCTCCATGCTTGCTGGCAAGTACTTTAAACACTGAGCCATTCCCCAGCTCCAAATTGTAATTTTAAATTATCCCCAGGTCAAAACAAATCCCTTACTGACTAAGACGCAGACTCAAGGCCAGTGGTGGGGAGCGGCAGCGACAGCAACAGTAACAGTCCATGCCTCTCCCTTATCTGGACAGAGTTCCCCAGGGAGAAACTGTTCTCAGTTGGGCTTTCTCTTAGACAGTCTGGTCAAGCACACAAATGTGTCCAGCTGTGCCACAAGTCCCACAAGGACTTGCAGTTCTCCAGCTCTCCAGCTCAAGCCCTAAGCTCACTGTCAACCTGAATCTCTTGTTTCAAAGGCGTTTCCCCACCAGGTAACCTGAGCCCAGTGCAACCAACCATTCTGACACTCAGCTGATGTTGCCATGCCTGGACCCATCTATCCCAGGCTGTAGAGGTGCCTGTTGACGTTAAGAGGAGCAGGCAATGGTGGCTCAGGTTCCCACAGGATCACTGAATACACATTTTTGAACAGTTCTCATGATGCTTAATGGTTTTTTTTTTTAAAAAGTCTGGATGAAATCAGGAAAAGAATGGTGAACAACAGTGTGAATTTGGTCAGTAGTTATGTGGTCACCCAGAGGTAAAGCAAAAGCACCAGCCTGAATATACCAGTTTCCCTTCAGTATGGAGGGAAAGGGTATTGGGAAACAGTCACAGACACCCCGCTGTGCTATAGCTGTTACACTATGGCAGGAACACTGGCCTGCAAAAAGACCTGGTGCAGGCATCCTTGGGGCCTGTACACTTTCCAGTGGGGAAGAAGATGAAGACACAGCTACCAGGCCACTCTGAACCCTCCACGATTATGCCCAGGCAGCCACAAACAGTGTAGTCTAAGATAAAAAATGGGGTGTTCACACAAGCATGACAAGTAGCTCGGGAGACAAGAGTGGGAAGACCCTTCTCAGACACAATGCCCATCCACTGCCAATTCTTAGGAAGGTAGGCTAGGCAAGAACACTTACTGCTTTGCAAATATTACTATGTTGTAAAGTCCTAACCCTGCTCTTTGAGAAGAATCAGGTGGTAACTGCCCTTCAGAGATGAGACAATCCTTGGGCTAATGCCTCAACTTCGAAGCCAGAAGGGGTTCTGAGAGAGTAAGAAGGTGAAGGGTGTGGAGAGTGCCCTGGAGGCATGGGTAGCCAAAGAAGACCCTATTATTACACTTTCCCACAGAGATGCTGCTTTCCTTGCTAGCTTCCCTTCTAGGTCATGAATAGAGGGGCAGGAGAATGTTACTCAATAGTTGAGATTTAAGAACTATCTCCTATCCCCACTCTAAGACCTCAGTTGCCCACAATGCCCCTTTCATGTATCACCAAAGAAAATTGGCTCTGAAAAATAAATGATGCTAAAGACCTTGAGGCTCTCAAAGTCCCGCTGGTACTTCTCCCGCAGGGTGGCCACATCACCCTCCAGCTCTTTGTGGCCCAGCTCTTCTCGCATGATATCCATTTGGGCCTCCAGCTCCTGGATGCGTTCTCGTAGCCCTGTCATGGATTCAGCTTCATCTTTGGCTGTTGGCACAGCTCTGGGCTCAGATGGCCTGGGGGCCAGTGGGGAATCTGGGTGTGAGGGTTGGCAGAGGCTGAGGGCTCCCCGCAGGCTCCATACATAGTGCTCCTGCAAGGCCCTCAGCTCCTCCTGATGGACAGCTTGCAGCTCCCGGACCTTCAGCTGGAACCTGTCCTCCAGCATTTTCATTTGTTGCACATGTTGTTGTTCCATGGCCTGCCTGTCTTTGACTGAAGCATCTAGCTGGCTGAGAACCCGGCTACGCTCAGCCTGCAGTGTATTTTCAGTGTGGCTCAGCTGCTCCACCATGCACCTAATCTCCTCCTCATACCTGCCCTGCAGGGCAAACATGCTTTCACTGTGTTTGCTTTCTGCTTCTTGTAGACATCTCTGCTGATGGTCCATCTGGCTTACTTTGGCCTTGAGCTCAGTGTTTTCCTTTTCAATGAGGGTGATCACTTTCTGGTACTCACTCTTCTGCTTGTGGAGAAGTTCTTCATACTCCTCCTTCAGGGCCCCAACCGCTTGTGCACGCTTCTGGCAAGTGCCTCCTGTAGTATCCTGACAGGCTTTCTTATAAAATCGTAGCTCCTTTTCATACTCCAGCCGAATTTTGCATGCTGCATAACACACTTGAGCCTGAATAATTGCATCTTGAACCAGTAATGAAGAATACTGACCAAGACCCTCTAGACAAGCATCATATGAGAGATGCTGGGACATCTGCAGAAGCCTCTGGCAACCTCCAAGTTGCTCTGTGGGAGGTAGAGCTGGCAAGGCAGCTGAAATCTCCTCAAGGATGCTAGCTTTTTCTCTCAGCTGCTGGGCCAGCTCATCCTGAATGGCAGCAAGGACTTCAGGGCTCTGGTGGAAAGCCTGCAAGGGCTCTTGGGAGCCATCTGTGCCTGGCTTCAGTACCTCTCCTAATAGGCTCTGGTCCCAGGACGTCTGTACCTGGTCCTCCCTGCCAGCTGGATGCCTGAGGGTTTCTAAGATCTGCTGTATTACTCTTTCAAAATCTGGGGTTTGGTAGGCTCCCAAGATTTCTCCCAGCATGCATTTGTGCTGCTGTAGGGCTGCTTGGGTCCCTTGTAGGGTCTCCTGTATGCTCTGTAGCCTATGGTGAAACAATTCTCTTAATGATTGTGTGGCATAGCTGAGCTCTGCACGAATCCATGTGGCATCAGCCAGACTTTGGGGAATATGATGCTGCCTGTCTCCTGAGGTGCAGGCTGTTTCTTCTCCCAGTGTCCCTAGGTGCTTACTTAGGGACTCAACTTGGCTCCAGAACTCACCATTCACCAGCACTTTCTTGGCCCAGATCTCCACTGGAGCCCCAGTAGAGAGGGCAGCACTTTCTTCCTTCAGTGGCCACTCCCCTGACCGAGTAAGCTCACAGAGAACACCATACACATCTGAAGTGGTATTCTTTAGCGAGTCAGCTATTTGGTTGATGAGTGAGGCCTCCAGGACTATCTGAGCAGAAAGCAGCTTCCTATGTTCCTGCTCATTCAATATGGGCTGGCAGGGCTGCTGTACAGGGGTTGCCAGGCCCCTTTCCATGGGGTGTCCCTTCTCTTGCTGAGTCTGTGTCCTGCTGTCTACTGGGGATGCCCATGGCTGAAGGGCCTTTATAGCACTCACAAGCATACTCTCTATGTTAGCCAGGGAGGCTGCACATGCATCCTGTCCTTCCTCCTGGTCAGCAAATGGCAGAGACCTTAACTTTTTCCAGCAGTTTTCTAAGCATGTCAGGGCTTGACTATTTTTGAATTGGAAGTCTTCTAGCTCCTCAGGGTGATGATGCTCGATGTTTGTGGCCTTCTCCTGTCTCTCCTGCTCTAGCTGAGAGGCCAGTGCACTAGCCTGTAGCAGGCTGGCACGGAGTTGCTCCTGTAACTGTGCCTCAGTGCCAGCCCACTGCTGGTGCAATGCAAGCAAAGCCTCCTGACTCTGGCCCTGCTGGCTCTCCAGCCTCATGGTCACATCTTTGAGCTTCTCCTCTGTGACATAGAGCTTTGTCTCCAGGGAGTGGATTATAGAGATGTATGTTTCAGCATCTGCAGCTGCAGGGAGTGTGCTAGGGGTAGCTTCTGAGGACACGCTGTCCTCTGAGGGTGATTGGTCCTGGCTGGTGTCTGATGATGTGCTACTAGTCCAGGCCTTTGCACACCCCTCAGGGTGTATGTACCTTTGGCACTGGATTGTAGAGAACCGGATTCTTGGCCTTTTTAAAGGTGCTCCCTGGTCAGACTTAGAGGAGCTTTGCAGATGCCCCTCCCTGTCAGGCACATCTGCAGATTTTGGGGCTAACACGTTCTCTCTGCTGGGGCTACCACCGCTACACTCTTCCCTTTGGCTAGCACCTGGGTCTTCATCCTCTGGCTGTGAGTGGGGAAAGCCTGGAAATACTCTGGTGACTGAGCCTAGCGGCAAAATGCCACTGTCCTCTGTTTGCTCTGCTGTACTCTGAGGCTCTTTGGCATCCTTTGGAGACTCACTTACAAATCTCCTTAGACACTCTTCCTTTTCCTGCAGCTTAATTTCTGTTTCCTCTAAGCTGCTGCCCAAGGCAATCATTTTAACCAGAGCCTCATTGAGGTCTTGGTCTTTCTTTTCTAGAACTCTCTCATGTGCTTCCTTAATGTGCTTGAGCTCCTCTTCCTTTTCTCTCAGCAGAGTGCGCACACTCTGTAGCTGGACAGAGACCCTGTGGTGTGAGTGCTCTAGGTTCTGGTAGTCAGCTTCTTTTCCCCTCAGCTTCTCTTGGAGCTCAGCCACGTCCCCATCAGAGGTGGCCACACGTTCCATGAGCTCTTGGAATTGTTGCTTGATGAGATCCCGTTCATCATGGAGGCTCTGTACATGCTGGGCTAACTGGCGGATGCTAGCCTCCCGGGCCTCCAGTTCTTCCTCTAGCAGGTGCACCTGTTCACTGCCTTTGCATGTCTCACTCAGTTTCTCTTTCTGGAGGGCCTCTACCTGCTGCACATGGCCTTGTAGCTGCTCCTCATAGGCACTGGCCTTGTCCTCTACCTCCTTCAGGTTCTGCAACAGCGCCTGCTTCTCCTGCTCACAGCTCTCCAGCAACAATGTGTAGTTTCTCTTCAGCTTCTTCTCCATCAGATTCTGGGCCTGTTCACTGGTACCTAGCTGCTGGCTGAGCTCAGCAATGCATTCCTGAAGCCTCTGCATTTCCTTCTGTCGGTCCTGTTGCAATGCCTGCTGTGTTTCTAGGTCCCTCAGTTCCTGTGTCTTCTCTAGCAGCAAGGCTTCTGTACTTCTGAGTTTCTGCTCACTGGCCCTCAGCTGGCCACTCAGCATGGCCTTGCTGTGCTGCCATTCCTCCAGTTGCTCACGAACTTTGCCCTGCTCCAGCTTCAGCTCACCCTTGAGCTTGGCTAGAGCCTGCTCCTTAAGGGCCAACTCTGCAGCTGCATTACCAAGTCTTGCTTGCAGGATCTGAATCTCAGCCTCATGATGTCGGATTGCATCCTTGGCCTCCCCATAGCTATGTTTCAGGGTCTGAATCTGTTGCGTGATGAGCTCTTGCCGTCGGCACTGAGCTTCCAGTTCACTTTGGAGGTCTTGGTTGACTCTATGGAGCCTCTGCCAGGCACCCGATGGGGAGGTGGCAACTTCAGTCTTAAAAAAACCGATTAAATACTGGTTAGTAACACTCAGGCCACCCTGTTCTGAGTGTCACACCTCTGGCCAGGATCAATCATAGAAAAGCTCCTTGGTGGGTTTGGCTTTAAATCCTTTGCACAACTTTTTTTTTCTTCGTTTAAAGAAAAAAAAAATCAAATTAATGTGGGTTTTGTTTTGGTTTGTTTTTTGGTAAATATAACTGCTTCCACATAAACAGAACACATGGGAAAAAACATCAAAAAACAGCTCTAATTGAACAGCATCTAGAAGAAATAAACCAAACAAAGCTGAATAATGGAACACACCGAGAAGTATAACGGAGACCGAAGGACAAAAGGACACTGCATTTGTTTTGCTAAACAAAGTATGCGGTTCTAGACCACATGTTTAAAGCAGCACAGGGCATAAGGCACAAGAAAGTGATGTCACTTCCTTCCATGATAGGAAGAGAAGGAAGGCAGGTAACTACTTGAGAGATGTCAGCAAGGTAACATTGGAACACTTCCTTTAGAAAGCGTAGTCAGGCCTCCACCGTAAGGAGAAAACTAATCTCTACCTGCAAGAAGACAGAACAAGGGGAATGCAGATCATGAAGCAAAATGTGGTAACAAAACAAACCTCCATAAAGCTCAAAATAAGGGTGAAACATGCAAAACCCAAAATAAAGCACAAAACTCCCCAAACTGACAGACACATAGAAGACAGAACTAATATAAAGCAGGGGAAACAACATGGGTAAGCTGAGAGCCCCACCTAGAATCTGGCCTGCCCAGGCTCCCTCAGTCTACTGGTGGGGAAGCCACAGATGTGACACTCAGGTAAAGTTCCAGTTCCACACCATGTTCACCATCCAAAGCATGCAGGTCCCTCCCAGCTGATAGCACAGCACCCTACCCAAGCTTGCACCTCTTAACCTTCAGTGGCCCCAAAAGGCCTCTTGCCCCATTGTCACTTTTGACTGTAAATATTTCCAAAGCTTAGGGGTAATCGTTATAGATTCAGTGGGAAACTGGCTCAGCTGCTGACCAACTGGGCCTTCAGTGTAGATGCACATGATAGTCCATGTTAGACAAACAGGTTAGCAATGTGCAAAACTCCTTGGAAGTGTCTTTACCACCATATCTGAAGTCAAGTCTTGTATGATGGACCCAACAAAGGCTTAGGAAAAGGCCTGTATGAATAACCTTAAAGGATATCTAAGTAGGTTGTGTAGAAGGGAGATGGCCAGATCCAGGCAATAAGGTCTGAAGTAGGATAGCAGTGAGTCTGTTGGAAGGGAAGAGGGTACAGTAATGTGGGGTAGGGGACAGCAGTAAGCCAAGGACACATGCAGCAGTGTGAGGGGTAGGCACAAAGGTAAGGTAGGACCTGGTTGAGGTGAGTGAAAGTCCACGTGCAACTTGGTGACGAAGATTGAGGAGGTCAATGCACAAGGGTCTAGGCATGTCAATAGCCAACTTGGCAGAGACTGGGTCTTTGAGAGCTGAAGGCCCTTGGAGAACACTAGTTCTAAATGACATGGGCAGGAGGCTGCTACTGTAGGAGGCAGAAACTGTATGTTTCTGGGATCAGTGGCAGAGAGTCAAGACTACAACCTAGAACTCTAGACCAATCTAAAACCAACATCTTATCCTTGGCCTTTTCTGGGAGCTTCAATTCAATTCTACCATCTCATTCCACTATCCGAAGCAATTACTTGTTGATTCTCCCATCAACATGACAGTACCCAGGGCGAGAGTATGTCTCCTTCATGTCTCAGAGTTAGCATTGAACCTAGGCAGCCAGCTATAGGATAACACATGCCACCTGTCTTAATATCAAGCTACCTTGAGACCATTTTTTTTTTTTTTTTTTTTTTGACATACCCATATCAAGGGTACTCTAGGAATCTGAATGCAACGGGATTCTGGAAGATACCTTGATGAGAAGGACACTGGCCTTGGGTTGTCAGCTCAGCACCTAGTTACCATCACCTTTACCCATTTCTGGTTGGGTTGGATTGGCTAGGTAGTCATATGTCCTTTTGAAACTTAGGCTGTTTAAAAAGGAATGGTTAGGTGGGTGGTGGTCTAGCTCTGCCACTAATTTGTGTTGGTCCTAAGAAGGCACTTGGCTTGCTGTCTTGCTCAGTTTTTTCAGAATATGTACAAAGGGCCCAATCTCACTATGGTGAACACAACGAGAAATGACATACAGATACATGGTTTTCATAAAAGCACAATGTCTAGAAAGCCCAAAGGAGAGATCACCAAAATGATTTCATGACCAAAAAGATAATCCTTAGCTGCAGAGATTTGGGACACATTCTCTAAAATGAATGTCCTAGTAGCAAGGAAAATGTACAGAATATCACAGCATTAAGAGCCCTGGTCCTAGTTGACCAGAGCTCTGCCATGTTTGCACATTCCTAGCCTGTGGCCCTGAGCAGACCTTTCACACTGAAGCCCCTGGGTGCACTGTTGACTGGGCAGCTCCCCACCCTACCTGCAGCACATAGCCCTCCCGGGCACTCTGCTCTCGGCCCAGAGCCACCCTTAACTGGTCCTGCAAAAGCCGGTTCTGCTCTAGAAGATCCGAGGCCTCTTTCTGGCTCTGCTCCAGCTGTTGATGAAAATAAACAAATACACACACTTCACAAATATGATAATAAGCAAAAGCAGCTGACCGTAAGTGGCTAAAACAATGGGGCTTGTTCATTTGCTTCAGACATCTCATGGGATACACAGCATATAGAACCAAAGGGTCCAGCACAAGCTATACACAACATCAACACAACTGCTCCTTCTGGTGGCTAAGGGTCACATTTCCTTGCCTCTGGCAAGCCCTGCCTAGTCCCAATAAGCTTCCACATTGGCTCACAGTTGTACTATGTTGGCTGAAAAATAGGTGGAAAGTTCCTATCTGGGGAGGTGGCTGAGAAAAGAAGGCTTCACATCTTGGTCAAAAGGAAGAGTGTGTGGGGCTCCCTTGAATAGTCATGTAGATCTCACTTCAGGTCCTGCTGTATTTCTCTACTGACTACTTCACCTGATCACGTTTACAGAATGGATTCCACACAAAGTTCCAGGATATTCTTAAATAAGACAGAGAACCCTGTAAATGCTCTACATTCTTATTTCCGATAGCCTCGAAATCGCCATCCACCTTGCCCCAACCTTTTGAGAGCCTTTTGATGTTCTGCTGTATGCCCTGATCAGCATGCTGGGCCATGAGAGGCAGGGGATGTTAAACCCTGAGCTCCAGACTGCTACTCAGTTAAGAATTCAGCATGTGGCCTGCATGCCCGAAGGCTCATTTTGGTAGCCTAGTATTATGTGAGTTTGAATTACTTTATTTCATTTTGCCTGTATTATTAATGGATATAGAAAATAAAAAAGTCCAAGTGTTGGTGCTAGTGATTTATCAGGTTCATACACTTAATGAAACGGAAAAAACAAAAAATAAGACAGGCATGCTGAAGTAGATCATCAATTGGCTATCATGGAAAGAGTGTAAGAGTATGCCTGATGCATGCTGAGAAAGATGCCCCTAAGGGGGCAAAAATCACACACAACCCTAGGTAGGCCAAGCACACATCTCAAATACCTCATCTGAGTATTCTGGATTTTAGGGTTTATTGTTGTTTTGCCTTTGAAATGATTCTGGAGGGGCTAGAGAGACGGCTCAGAGGTTAAGAGAGCACTGACTGCTCTTCTAGAGGTCCTGAGTTCAATTCCTAGCAACCACATGGTGGCTCACAGCCATCTATAATGAGGTCTGGTGCCCTCTTCTGGTATGAGGCAGGCATGGGGGCAAAATGTTGTATACATAATAAATAAGCAAATCTTTAAAAAAAAAAAAAAGAAATGATTCTGGAGTAACTGTATATATACAATGAGCAATTTGGGGGGATGGGGCCCAATCTAAATATGAACTTCAAACATGTTACTTTATATACATGACAAAATTTCATGGTAGGGAACTTTCTGCTGTGTCACGCCTTCACTAAATTATGACTTTTGGATTAAGGATACTCATCCTGTACCTCTTTGGTAATGCAACTCATAAATCTATGTGCGGATGTAATCTGGACATATTCTATGAGAATCACATGCTATGAACACAGGGGCTAGTGTATATGGCTCTATGCATCCATCTAATACTTGCCTCACTCCATCTCACCACAGCACTGGGCCACATCCCTACTTTCCTATAGTATTGAATAATTCTGTGCATGTAAGAAGGGAAATGCCCCACATTACCTCTTTCTCTAGCAGAGAGGTGAGCTCATGTGTGGAGATCCGCTCACTTCTGTCCTCTAAAGATAGGTGCAGAGGGGCAATAGGCACCTGTTTCTCCTCCCTGAGAGGGGTAGTTTCCACTTGGTGCCACCGCTGCTCAATTTCCACATGGACATTCTGTGTCTTGAGTTCTGGGGGTCCCAGCAGCCCTGGGCTTCGGTCTATGTCCATACGTAGTGCTGTATCCTCCATACCTGGCCCATCAACAGTATCCAGCATCCCAAAGCGCTTGCGGCGTTCTTCTCGCCGTCGAGCTCGTTCACGCTCTAGCTCACCTGGTTCGGCTTCAGGACGCCCAGGTTCACCAGCATCAGAGGAGCCCACAGTATTGGCCCTTTCTTGAGCCAGGGCCTGTTGGATGGGGCGGAATTCAGCCCAGTCAAATGTCTTGGAGCGGCCCTCCCGCCTCCGCTCTCGAGCACGGCTCTTCTTCTGCTCAGGGTCTGGCTCTCCTGGCTCATTTTCTTGCTTCTCATTCGGCCTTGGGCAGGTCTCAAAAGAGGATGTACTTTTATTCTTTTCCTCAGGCAATGAGCTATGGGGCAGCGAGGAGACACAGGACATTTTAGCAGGTCCCAGGGCCATCCCACGCCTGTTCTGATCCCCAAAGTGGCTTCTAAGTGTAGAGGGAAGAATGAATGCTCCACCTGTGCTTTGTTCTCCCTTAGAGAACTCAAACCTCAGAGGTTGGGGATGGGGGGGGGGGGGGGGAGGAAAGAGCTTCAGCTGTTCTAGAGACTTTAGTTCTCATCCTTTAAAAAGGAGTGTCATGGTGGTCACATCATGGATGATGGAGGCAAAGCCAATGGACTCCTATATGTCCCACAGGAGTGAAGGGTCCAGACACTTGGTAAAGTTGGTTATGAAGCAACCCTAATTATATAGTGACAGAATTAGCTCTCTTCAGAAGGGTGCAGGAATTTCTATATGCAGGAGACACCATCAGCTCTATTTAGAAATCTCATTCCAGCTTCAGGCATGACAGATCAGTCAGAGTAAGGCAGAGACCATCTGTGGGTCAAGGGGACAAGTGACTCAGGTAGCCATAAGCCCACCCCACCACGGAGGAGGTAGCATAGTACCCACCACTTTAAGGAAGGAGGTGACTAGGGGCACAGTCATGCAGATCAAGCCTGCTCATGCCTCAACCTACCCAGTAATAATGGAAGAAGTTGGTTAGCTTGAACACTAGCTGCCTTCCCCCCCCCCCCCACTCTTTTCCAAGGGAGATATCTAGGAAGGCTTCTACTCTAGCAGGAAAGGGGTTCAGGACACCGCCACTGGCAACATGGCAAGAGGCTGAGTGGGCTTTCTGACAGTACAAGTTCCAGTGATTGCTAGATGGCACTGGTCTTGTCCAAGCCTTAACAGAACTAAAGTGAGCTAGTGATAGGAGGGCCCAAGGGGAAAAGACAGGAAGCACTTGCATTTATACTAGGACCAACAAGGAGACTGCCAAAGGGACATCAAATAAAAGAGTGATTCTCATTACCTTTGGGTCACTTGCCCTGGAATCAAAGTGCGTGGGGCAGTGAGATTGCTCAGTGGGTAGGGGCACTTGCTACAAAGCCCAGCCCAGGTCCACCCTTGAGCCCACATGGCGGAAAGAGGATCAACTCCTATGAGTTATTTTTGGACCACCACATGTGTGCAACAGCAAACATGTGTACACAAAAAAATAAATGTTGAAAACAAACAAGCAAAGTTGTGTTTTGACCTCTACACATGTGCTGTGACAAACCCCTCCCTCCTTCTCCCTGTTCTCTCTCTCTCTCTCACACACAAATATATATATATATATGTATGTATGTATGTATATATATATGTACATATATATATATATGTATATATATATATATCAGTAGATCAGCAAGGGTCCAGTTTAAGATCAAACAAACATGCAAATAAAAATGAGCTGTAAGGGGCCGAATCTATGGCTCAGTGGTTAAGAGTACATGCTGCTCTTGCAGAGGACCTGTCCTGGTTTCCAGCATCCACATGGTTGCTCACAACCATTTATTAAAAATGAGTTCCAGCATAGCACACGCCTATAACCCATCACTTGGGAGGCTGAGGCAGGATGACTGAGTGGGAGGTCAACCTGTGCTATATAACAAGATCTTCACTCAGGGAAAAACAAAGCCACCTAGAGTTGAGCTTTTAGAATCATGAGAAAATTGGTGAAGTCTCAGGTCCATATGGGGAGTTGAAATTGACACTTGGGAACAGGGATGCCCTCCCCCAACCCAGAAGTCTTATAATACCATGAGATGTCCTCACTACAGACAACATGGTACATAAATTAGAAGAGAAGCAGGGCAAGGCTTGCAGCTCTGATACTGCCGTATTTGCTTCTAATACCATCTGGTGGCCCTGTAGTTATAAACCATGTTTCCTCAACATGAGCCAAACAGAACAAAATAGGTTAAAAGCAAATGGGTGTGGATGCTTCAAGACACAGCAAACTGTAATGTAGATGCCAACCAGGAAGACAACGGTGTGAAAGACAGAGAAGGCACAGCAAATGTAGATGTTACCCAGGAAGACAATATGTGTGAGAGAGAGAAGCACCAGGTCTCTATGTTTATAGTTTGGGGCTCAGTCCTTCCATGGAGCACAGCATAAACATGCATGTATGAACAGTCTTGGCATCTGCTCTGGACATCCCAACATCAATTTCCTCCTGCTATGACCCACTCCATGATGCTCCATCTGCACATGGCCTGGGCAGGGCAGTTCAAGTGCCCTTTTCACACTGCTTTGGAGCCTTGTACTACAGGCTCTTCTCTTGACTGGAGGAGTCACTGGAGGTAGGGTACTGCTCATTGCCAACAGTCTTTTTAATTTTTTTTTTTTTGAGACAGATTTTCTGTATGGCTGTCCTTTGTAGAGCAGAGAATTCACAGAGATCCACCTGCCTCTGTCTCCCGAGTGCTGGGATTAAAGGAATGTGCCACCATTGCACCTGGAAAAACTTTTTAAAATTCAATTTTATTTTATATGTATGGGTGTTTTGCCTGCATGTACGTCTGTGCACCATGTGCATGCAGTGCCTGTGAAGGCCAGAAAAGAGTGTTGGATATCCTGGAACTCAGCACCATGTGGGTGCTGGGAATGAACCCAGGTCCTCTGAAAGAGTAGCCAGTGCTCTTAGCCACCAAGCCACCTCTCCAGCCCCCAGCACAGTTCTTGAGAGATAACAGAGGACTATTTTTTGGATAAAAGTAGGTTTTCATGTCCTACTAGTCCTGTAATGCATAAATCCATACATATTGCTGATGGGTGAAGAAATGAACACATAACACTGAAGAAAAGCTTCCTTCCCTTTGCTCCTCATTTAAAAAGAAATACAACCAACCAGAATGATGCAAAAGTTTGAAACAAGAATAGGTATAGCTAATGCTGCCACAGGCCAGTAAGCTCTGACCACCATATACCAAAACCTCTACCAAAGCTACACTTGGCAGCATTATGAACCAAGAGAGGCACAAGATACACAAGATGAAACCTGGATGTAGCAGAGTAAAACTTGGCATACACAGAGCATCTCTGCTGTTCTGAAGAGGAACACTAGTAGATCTGGAATCTTTAGAGCAAGAAGGAGAGGCAAGTAGTATGTTCTGAGGAATATACACTACAGCATGCAAACACAGGAGAGAACAGTTTTCAAATGTGGGTTTTAGGACCTACAGTCTCAGACAAAAGCTTCTCCTCATTAGACAAAACACAGACAGATGTAGGAGTGAGATAAAAGGACTCTTGAGGATGTACAAAACTGCAGTGTAAAGCTACTGTGGCAGCTCAGGCTGCTCCTACCCAGCCAGGGCACAGCTACCAGAGACGGACCATAGTGGAGCCTGAGCCCATCCTGAGGGCTGCACTCTATTGACAAAAATGTCCTTGCTAAGGATAGGCATGAGGGTGGCCTGTGTGGCTGACCAGGCCAGCTTAACAGTAGGAAGGCCAGCAGAGGCAGAAAACAAAGAATCACAGGGGACGAATGCAGCCAGCTGACAGTGGGCCAGAAGGAGGAGAGGAATTCATGTTGTGGTGTGCCTGGGCTCAGGCATCAGGGAACGGCAATTAGTAAGGCCTCCATCTTACCTGGTCACATCTGGGGCAGATGCTGGGAGCACATGTTTCATAATGGTCTGGATCCAGTTCCGTCGTATGCCAGATGTCATGGCCGACAGGGTGAACTCACCCTCCTTGGTCTACACAAAAAATACTAACCATCAGTCAGCCCACAGGGAAAAGGACTAGGCTAGGTGACTCTCCTAGGAGTATTGCATATGACCTGCTTGAAACAGGCAGACTAATAGGGCCACACTCTGGGGGAGAGGTGAACTGGGTGTCACCTAAACAAGGCAGTACACAATCACTAGCTCCTATTATGCAGTATAGCAGCCTGCACACAGATAGAAATCACATGTTTTCTCTCCTCAAGAAGCTCTGATAATCTAGGGATAAGGACACAGAACTGGCTGGGAGCAGGGAGAGTGGTGGCCAGGCCCAGCATCCTGCAGCCTCAACATAGGTCCACAGTGTGACAAAAGGTTTGCCTGGGTTCTCTACCTGCTCTGCAAGGGCAGCAAGATGTACCACATCATTCTTGTCACCAATCTAGGTGATGAGAATTAAGACAGTGGCAAAGGAAAGGTGATGGAGAGACAGGGAATCACTGGCTAGACAGGAGGAATCTATCCACAGTAGAGATACTGAAAGCAAATGGGAAAAAAGGAATCTAAAACTGTTAGGAGCACACCAGCAAATCAGCTAATAGGAAACAAAACCAAGATAGCTGGGGGGGCAGGTACTGGTATGGTAGGGGTTGTAGTACTATAGACAACAAGTGGGCCACTGTGCTGTTATCCAACCTCTCCCTCCATGGTGGGCTGTCATACAACTGGCTCACTTTCCTTCATGAAATACAACTTTGGAGTACACTGCAGCATGGGGCTCCATTCACATTCTTTCCTAGCCTGAGCTTCCAAAGCTCAGCTTTGCTGGTGAGCTTTCTTAGTGTCAGGGCTACTTGCCTAGCCCATGATCTTAAAAGACCCATCATTGCCTCAAACCCTCTACTGGTTAGGAGTGCAAGGATCCATCTCCACTGTGAAGTCTCTGAGCAGTGTATATGGAACCCTCCAATACACTATGGGTTGTAGGAGCTCTCAGGTCCTACCTCACTCAAAGTTCTTCCCTGGCCTCTTCAGCCCCTCCTTCCTTAATTGCCCACCACACAACTACTACCTCTTGGTCTCCCTTCTAATTAATTGCTCCCTTCCCTCATGCAAGTTCTGCCATATATTCCTTACTAAGACACATTCCTGGTATCCACAACAGTCAGTGCTTTCCACACCTTGAGATAGTATTTACTCTTGAATACATTTGCTATTCTCAGGTTCTATCCATCACCTACCTTCTGCATTAGCACCCTCATCTGAACCCTCAGGGTGGGAAATCAGGCCCACCACTGGCCTTAGCTAATGTGGGAGACAGCAGAGTTCTCAGACTGTGCAAACACTGCCTTGAGATATTTCAAGATGAAGACAGGGAACGAACCAGGACTCAAATTGGAAAAAAGGTTCATCTCAGCATTCATACTCCAGGAATGTTCTATGTCCTTCAAGGGGAACAGAACTCTGCAGTTGGACAAGGAAGGAGCCAGGTCATGGGAACAGCCATGGCTCCTCCCTCAGACACCCAGTACATGGCCAGTTGCCCAGGAACGGGTGCTAGGCTCCTTCTAAGATCAAAACCACTGGCCTTCAGGGGTGTGGACTGGTCCCAAGTTTAGTGGGTTTGAGACAGCTATTAAGTGCGTCTGAACAACTGAATACAGAAATAAGTTGAGTTCTATGTCTCCAAACAATAAAGTTCTTTTCCCTAGTGAGCCCACCAGAATTCCATCTTGAAGCTAGAAGTCAAATCCTGGAGCCTATTCTATCTGCCATCACTTCAAAGGTTTTGGTGAGGGGCTACAAAGGTTTGCCTGAAAGGAGGGTCTGGCTTAGTTTTGCTCCTGAAACATGTCTAGAATTCTGGATGACTAGAGAGATCTCTTGTAGTCTGCCTAGGACCCCCACTTGGTAGTGATAGTAATAAGATGATATAAGGGACAGACTCCTGCATCAGAAAGAATAAACACTAACCATGAATCTGAGCTTAGAGATGGATACCAAATAAAAGGAGACCCAATTGACTATAAGAAGTATGAAGCCTCACTGCAGAAGGCAAATGTGCCAGAAATTCTTAAGCTTGATTCCAGGCATCCCTTAATCTTTTACTCACCATACTCTTCATCTTTCCAATGGTTCTACATTCCAACATAAAAAAAAAAAAAAAAAAGAAAGAAAGAAAAAGCAATTTCTATCTATAGTAAAGCCTTTCAAAAGCCTTGGGGAGAAAGATGCAGAAACCTATTTTTTGTTTGTTTGTTTGTTCATTTTGTCCATACCATATATCAGGAGTACAGGTCAGTAGTATAGGATAGAGGTATCATGGTAACAGGAAAGACTGAATGCTATGCTCACCACACATGTTAAGATATAACCCTGCTGGTCAAGTCCATCCATCCCCAGACTCACATGTATCTGAAAGCCATAGTTTCTCTGGACTGGATACTCAGTGACATTGTAACAGGTTGACAAGTCAATTTCTCCATCTAGGTCAGCTGCCTGAAGAGAAAAATAAGAGGGTGTGAAGATTCAGGAAAAGAGGATGCCCAAGTATCACATTTCCGAGTGAGGTCTTCCACTGAATGTCTTCACGGGATTAGACCTTGGCCAATTGTCCTACAACTGCCAGATTCAAGTTCCCTCTCTTGGTGTATCTATATCACCATTTCCCTGTGTATCTAGCCAAAGAAATTCCACCAGTGTTCCTTAAACATCTGTCATTCTTTTACATATTTAAAAAGTAAGAAGACTCTCTGTGCTGGCTGGATTACTGTCAATTTGATGTTATCTGAGTCATTTGGAAGAGAACTTTAATTGGGTTTCCGTATCAGATTGCCTATAGGCAAGTTTGTGTGGTATTTTCTTGATTGGTATGGAAAGGCCTAGTCCCCTACGGGCATTTTGACCCCTGCATGTGGTACTGGGTAGTCTAAGAAAAACAAGCTGAGTAAGTCAGAGAGAGTGTTCTTCCAGTCTCTGCTTCAGTTCCTGCCTCCAGTTCTTGACTCAACTTCCCTTTGTGATAGACTAGACTGTAAGATGAAACAAACCCTCTCCTCCCCAGACTACTATAAGCTCATGGTGTGTATCACAGCAAAAAGTAAACTAAAACACACTCTAAGAGTTTTGTGTTATGTGGAGTTCATCTATTGATATTTCCCGTATTAGCAGTTGGAGACTGTAAACATTATTTATTCACTTAAGGAAAACTTTAATAAAAGCTGAGTATAGTGGTCCACATCTACAATCTGAGCAGCTGGGAGGCTGGGGAGGAGTGCTGTGAGTTTAAAGCTAGCTTGACCTACTTAGTAAGCCCTTTTCATGTTAAAATTGAAATATGATTAAAATCAAAGTATGATTAACAATCAATGGTTAGCCTGGCAGTGTTTACATTTCTGCAGGTCTCTTACACGCCTGACTTTGGAGAGGACGCTGGACTCCTTTGTGTCTGCATTCAGTTTTCTATGTACTATTTCAGCTAACATAAGTGAAGACAAAGTGGTCTAACAGAGAGGTGGGAAAAGAATTTTCAAGGAACTAGCTGGTCTTCCTTGATGAATAGCCAGGTCTCAAAGATTAACTGCAATTGCAGAATCTATAGTCCAATCAGTGGTTAGTCTGTGCTGTTAATATTGAAATCCAGCTCTACCCTTTGAACAACTCTTTGCCACGCATATTCTTAACATTAAATATTGGTAACAGAAAATATTAAGCTATGCATGGCTTTCAAATGTCTACATAATGCATTTTGCAGAAGCAAAAATGCTAAAACACTGCCTATTTCATGAGCAGAGCTTACAGATAAAAAGAACCTATTGAGATTATGAATACAAATCTTCCAAAATTCTTACTTTCTTGTCTTGATATCGGGTCTCTGCATACTACCTAGGCTGGTTTCAAATTCTTGGGTCATGTGACCTCCCTGCACCAGTGCCTTGAGTGGCAGAGACTACAGACAGATATGTACCACTGTGCCAAGACTAGCCTTTTCTTTGAAAAGATTTTATTAAAAAAAAAAAAAAAGTGTGAATATTTGATCTGAATGCCTGTAAGTAAGTATACCATGGAAGAGTAGTGCTTGCCAGTAGGTGGCGTTGGATCCTTTGGAACTGTAGGTTCAGGCAGTTGTGGACCCTCATGTGGTACACTGCAGGAGCAGCAAGTTCTCTTAACTGCTGATCCACCTCTCCAGCCCAGTTGTTTTTTTTTTCTTGAAAGTTCAAACTCTATTCACCTTTGGCAACAAACTGTCCTTGAAGGAATAGATTCATGGTTTATTTTCATGAAAATGCCTGCCAAACCCTCAAACCTGAGTGAGCAGGGCTTATCTGTCAGCTGTTTCTTCAAATGACATTCTATAAATAAGTGGCTAGTTCAGCTGGTAGCTCAGTAATTGTACAGATGTGCTTCCATAAGGCTTTGGCATACAGCTGAGTGACTGACAGACATTTCCATATAAGAACAATAAAAAGGGCATAGCAAGGGGTTGCTCAGTAAAGTTGCTTCCCAGACAAGCCTGTTGACCCAAGTTCTACCCTAGAACACATTTAAAGGTAATAGGAGACAGGTGACTTCACAGTTATGCCATAGCTCTCTTGTGGACATCAGAGGATGTGTGTACCCACACACAAATCATGTGTGCATGCATACATGCACACATACACATAAAAAAGAATACTAAAGAGATGAGCATTCAAAAGTTGCTACTTAAAAATATCAAGCACAGACCTTTAAGCCAGTTCTCAGGAGGCAGAGGCAGACAGATCTCTGTGAATTCCAGGCCAGCCTGTCTACAAAGTGAATTTCAGGATAGCCAGGACTACTCACAGAGAAACTCTGTCTCAAAAGGCCAAAAATAAAGTAAGACTAAAAAATAAAAACAAAATATATATGTAAATAAAATCAAGAACCTATTCTGTTGCTTTTAAACATCATTCACTGACTGTAAAGCAATACAAGTGCACTGACTGTTGGTACAGTCTGACTTTGGCCTATTGCCAAGGCACTGGCAGTTTTATCTAATTCTGCTTTTATGTCATCAATGTTATATCAACACAGTTCTGTCAGTGGCACAGTTTTGACTCTCACAACACATTTCACTAACTACTACTCTAGAGGCTGGTGAGATACTTCAGCAGGTAAAGGTGCTTATGACCAAAACTGATTACCCGAGTTCAAGTCCTGGAATCTACTTGACAGGAGGAAAGAACTAACTCCTACAAGTTGTCCACTGGTGTCCCACAGCCACTGGTGTCCCACAGCGCAAGTGTTTTCTCCTATGCTCTAACACACAAATTGATTTTTTTTTTTAAAAAAATGTAGTTTCTCTACTACATCAAGGCAGAACAATATCTAAGTTAGTCTGTCCAGTGACTCAATTCACCACAGTCCTTTTGCTAAAAACCAAAGACAAAACAAAACTAGACTTGAGTTTATGCTGAGTACTAACTTCATTGTTCTTTTTGTTTTTTAGATTTATTTGTATGAGTATTTTGCATGCGTGTATGCCTGTAGCCCGTGAGGGTAAGAAGAGGGTATCAAATCTCTGGAATTGGACTTCTAGATGGTAGGTAGTCACTATGTATGTGCTGGAAACCCAGGTCCTCTACAAAAACAAATTCTCTTAACAGCTGAGCCATCGCTCCAGCCCCACTCCACTGTTCTTAAAGAATATAGAGAAGAATTGGCAAAAGCCACTGTACCAAAAAAACCTAATTTAAGGCCTCAGAGGATGACCACAGTTTCTGAAGTAGGAAACAGTTTGTCATCAAAGCTGGATCAATTGCATGCACAATCCTATTATATGACACCCAAGGCAATAGGCCAGCTTTTCACAGAGTTTTAGATGCTACTTTTGCCTTACAGTTTTCTCACCTCCTCAGCCATGGAATCCCTGTAGTATCTCAGGCTCTGATCAGCCAGAACAAACCAGTGTTTCTTCCACTAAAGGAGAGAAAAATAAACATCCAACTATTTTGCAACATACTTGATACCCCTCCTTGACCCCAGCTGAGTTTAGGCACTCTGGAGAGCACAGGTAAAGCAGGCAACAAACAGATGACTGTTCTGAAAGGCAGCCATGCGCTCATGACCTCAGGGAGGCCCTGGTTAAGATGTACTCCAGCAATGAGGCAGTGGAGAACCGTGGGCCTTGGCCAGCTCTGTGCCCCAGAGTAGTTGGTGACTGGTGCTTTGCAGGCCTCTATCCTAACTTTAGAGGCTGCAGACAGTTCTGCTGGGTCTATCACACAGAAAGGTGGCTGTGAAAAGGGTGCTGAGGTACAACCACTTGGCTGATATACCAGATGTGTGAGCTCCACGGTGCCAGCAGGTACAAACTAACCTGCTAAAGTCCCAATCTTCACTCTGAGGAAGGGAACTTGAATCTTCAGGCAAGGCCAAGGGTATTTGATATGGTGGAAGAAGGAGAAAGAGGGGATGCCTTGGCACAGTCTCCAAAGGTAAAAAGGAGCTAAGATAGTAGAGTGGATTTTTATGGGCCTCTCAGGAAAGGAACCAACATGCTTCAGGTCAAAGTGAGGCTTGTAAATGACTCTTCTTGTTTGGACCTGGTAATAGTCACAATTCTCAGGGCCTAACAGTGTCCCTAAAACTGAGCTCGTCTCTCCAACACAAGGATTTTGCAGCCCTATGTGACTGCCCATATGTCTGCCTCATATGGACATACAAGTTAGTCCAGTCATATGCTGGCTGTTCTTGCTTCTGGGGAAACTTAGACTCTTAAGAAGAGAACTTTTAGGAGTGATAATATCCAGGAGCTAAGACTGTAGGATGTCTGCAGGCCAAGGGCATGAACAGGGCTCAAAGATCCTGGTAGGGACAAGACAAGCTGGGACTTGCATCTGCTCCCCAGTCTTCCTGGCCTTGGCACTTACACACACTCACCTGGCCATCCTCATACTGCTTGGTTAGCCAGCCTTTCTTGAAATTCAGTAGGTCAGGCTAAGGAAGAAAAAAGAACAGCTTAAGGGAAACCATTGTGGGGTCCCCATTGATGGACAAAATGTGTGCAACTGCGTTGTTTTCATCTAGATGAAGCAGCACCTGAAACAGTTTTTACCAACTACCAGATAAGCCTGCGCACACTTGTCCCAGGAGGGAGTTGAGGGGCAAGGAGAAATAGCACAGCCTCATTTAACCTGGGCACAGGGACACAGGATGCCCAGTTGTTCTGAGGTCTCTATTCCAGCTTATCCAGGGCTTGTGTGCATCCTGCCTTGGGTCACAGCACAGGCCCTGATGGATAGTTCCCGGGCATTGAATGTACAGGAGACACCTGCAGTAACAGATGAAAGGGGAATCCAAAAGCTCCTGCTGAGGCTGCAGAAGGACTGAAGGCCAGAAGCCTGAGAGGCAGACCATGTCTGGGGTGGAGAAAGCAGTAGTAGCAACCTTGTCCAACTTTCAAGTTACTCTTCTACCAGGAGGAAGTTCGTGCTTATTCCCTATTCAGGAAGGTAGGTCAGGGACCACCAGCAGACCTGGGTGGGTGCTACCTCTTAGGAGTAGCCTGCATTCTGCTGGGGACTGGTTCTCATCTGCTACTAGTACACCTGAAGGTCAGGCTTTGAAGACCCCAGCCACCCCTTCTGTGGTCCCCAGCGCTCTTAGGTCTTCCACAGCTGTCCTGATCAGAATCTGGCTTTGATGTTTCTTACTACTCGAAGGACAGGGAATGATCCAGAGAAATGACAACAATCAGGACAGGCATCCTGGGAGTTACTGCTCCATTGTGGAGAGGTCACAGTAGACTCCTGCCTTGCCCCAACAGACCATGATAGATGAGGCATCCCTCTGTGGAGCCTTGCTGTAACCCATGCTTCATAAGACTTCCTTCTATAAGAACTGTTTGAAGTATCACCAGAAATGGAGACATTTTAGGATGCCCCAGCACAGAGACCATGTACAAAAGACCTCTTTTTGGTATGCACAGTTGTTGCTGCTTCATGAGACTTGGGATGCAGGCCTGCTCTCTGGCTCCCTTGCTGAACTGCCGATCTATGAAAGATTCTTAAACTTTTTGCTGTGGTTGTCACTGCTGTTGCGCCTGCCTCAGGGAATGGTGAAGGTTGGTCCCTGTGGGTCTTTTCTCTCTGGGCCTCTGGTGACTGCCGGGAATAGTGGCTACCAGCTGAGTTGATGGAGAAACTGCTCTGTCTGGGGGATGAGAGCTGATGAGTGTGCCAAGTCTCCTGGGAGGCTGTAGTTGAGGAACCAGGTGGAACTTTGCAGCTTCATTCCTGTACATACCCTCAAATGGGATAAATTGTCAGTACAACGTGGCTCCTGTTCCAAAATGCCACAAAAACACACACCAAAAGCAGGACAGCAGAGGGCAGGTTGGGGCTTTACACTTGCACTGGCCCAGCGGCCTCCTTTGTACAGAGACCTCCATGTGCTACTCAGGGAGTCACATCGCCCCCAAGTCCTGCTGGGCCCAGGAGGGGAATGGTCAGTTTCCAATGGGTTGCAGACCAGTGGGTGGGGCACTCACAGGTATGAGGGTGGTACAGAGGGAGGACCGATGTGGACATATAAACATAAATGGACAGTGGCCCAGAGTGGCCAGAAGCAGCAGTGGTAGTGGCACAGATCTCCAGATAACTTGGCACGTGGCCTGGGCTCACCGTCATGGAGGATTCTGTGGACCTCCTGTCCAATGACTTGGCTCTTCGGTGTGGAGACAGGGGACAAGCATCTGAGAGAGGAGCTGTGGGGGCTTCACTGGCAAAGTCCTGTGGCAGAGAGCAGCCACCCGTCAGTATAGCCCAGGGCAGTTTGGGCAGGCATAGGAACAAGTTGGGTAGTTCATCCCTCCATGAGTGGGGTAGTGCTGTCTAGGCCCCAGAGCAGAGCAGGTTCTGGGATGACCCATGTCCTGGCATGCTTTGATCAGTGGAGCAGCCTTTTCTGGTCACCAGTGTCCTGGCCCTACCCAATTTTGCAGCTTCTCAGGTTACAGAAGAAGACAGCAGGCATTTCGTGATCAACAAAGAAACTGGAAAGAAGGACTTGGGTACAGCAGGCCACAGAAGAGGCAAGAGGCTGGAGGAGTCTGGGAGGAGGAGGACTGCTGAGGGCTGAATGAGGGTACAGCATGCCACTCCAAAAACAAAAGAAGGAAAGAAGGTGTCATATTTGGCTTTGTTCCTGGGTGGTCTCAGTGGGAAGAAACTGTGCTAGTTACAACTGGGATCTAAGACTCCCTGAAGCATCCTGTGGCACAGGAGGCTGATGATGCAGGAGGGGAGATGTGGAAGACATCTGGTGCTCAAGAGGCTAACAGGAGGAGAACAAAGAGTAAAGACCCCGAAGAAATTTGTCCCTACGTGTCAGAGTGTGTAGGACAGTGTGTTCCCCAGACCCAAGCCATGCTGCCAAAGGCCCCACTTAGCCCCACACTGGAGCTCACCCGCTTTCTAGGGATGGCCCGTTTCTCACTGCGGCCCTGACGAGTGTCACTTGATGGAGTGGTCATAATCAGCATGTTGGTTTCCATGTGCTCTGCCTTTTCAATGTCCAAGGCCTCAAATTTTTCAATTACCTGGGACCTCCTACAAAAGAGGATATGAAGCTGCTAAACCAGAGTCTCCCTGTTCCCAAGGCGGGTTGGGTCTCAAGTCCAGTGGGGGGGGGGGGGTCCTGTGGTCAACTTGCACATCTGGCCTATCTAACTGGGCTTCAGTGCTAGCCTTCCTGCTGGCTGACAGGACTTTGGGCACAGATTCAGTCTCCTTGAGCTCCATTTGTTCCCCCTTCATGGTGGGCTGGAGCAATGGCAGAACCAACCCTTCCACACTGAGCCTACTCTGTGACCCTGCCCCAACACTGAACTCATACAGCTGGGTACCTTGGTAACCTCCCCAAGGCAGACACAATAAAGATCAACCACCACACACTGCACCCCATACGGAGTGTTCAAAATTTAGCAAGATAAAGGCCCATGAATTAACAGTTTCTGCTAACATTAAAAGGAATCAAAATCAAAACAAAACAAAGCAGTTGATTTCATGTGAAAGGCCAGCGGCCTCGTCAGGTGGTCTGCGGCTGAGACGACGGAGCTGAGATGGAAGCGAAGCAGGTGGAGGAGGCGCGAACGCCACAGTGACACAGCAGAGGGTGGAGAGGGCAAGACCTGAAAGAAAACAAGGCTGGGAAATGAATGAACAGAAAAAGACTGCTTTTAAAATTTAAATCATGATAAATCAAAGTTATCTAGAGAATTAAAGCAGCAAAACCACAAGGTAATGGCTGAAGAGAGAAAACCCATGATCACCCCATGGCCTGAGGAGTCGTCACTAGGCAGACTAGGGCTGCCTACCTGGGGTCTGGGAGCTGATTTAAACCTGCTGTGAGGACAATCCCTTCTCACCAAACCTGAGGCCTGCTCTCCTAGGGACACCTTACTCCCTCACAATGGGGGTAGGCATGACATGTTCTAAACAAGTGGCGAGGAACTAAGGGGAAGTGATAAAGGTCCTTCCAGGAGACTAAAATCTCTACTAAGAGAAAGAATATGGCCTAGGATCCAGGAACCTCTCTTTTCAGGGGTTACTGCAAATCTACCTTGAGAGGCCTTTTCCTCAAGGGAGTTAAGAGGTCAAGGGCAGCCAGCCAGGGTTTAGGAGGGCTTCAGGGTGCTCTGCTTCCATGTGAAACACTGTTAGAAGACAGGGTTAGCCTGATGTGCTCATAGAGGCAGAGGTGAGGAGACTGACTGTAAGAGCAGTAAGCCAAGCAGCTGCCGAAGTGCAGCTAGGGGGTCTTGCACAGCCAGACTACTGCAGGAAGATCTGGCTACCCACAGCCCTTGGGGCTACTGCTGCTTCTTGGGCTGAGAGCACTGTATCTGGTTAGAGGACTTCAGGCCCCAGAATAGTAGGAGGGCTGTGCCAGGCCAGGCTGGCATGCATGGTATGGGTTTGTAGGGTTCCCAGCAGAATAGACAGCATGAAAATTAGGAGGCACTTGCTACAGCTGCTTGACATGGGTGCCAAGAGATGGTGTGAGACCAGGAGCTTGGGCAACTTCTGTATAACTGGTTCTCTGTTGTCAAGTTGGTGTTTTTGAAGCAACAGAAAGTGCCTCACTCAGGTATAACTGATAGTAGATCTCACACAGGAAGGTGGAGGAGCCAGGGTTCCATGGGAGTGGGGTTTGCTTTTTGTTAGTCACTAACAGTGTTGTAAGGACCACAGCTTCCCTACACTTAACAGAGATGGGCCTAAGAACTGATTGTCTTGAGAACTCCTTCAAAGGCTCTGAAGTCTGAAGAGCAAATTCTAAGCTCAGAGCTACTGCTCTTCTCAGGTGGGGCTGCTTACTGGCCTACCAAGGTTTTCCAGAACTGATCTTGTGGTTTCAACTGCCTGGCTATATGGCAGGTCTGTCTTGGCTACCACTCAAGGCAAAGTAGCTGACATCTTGTCACTCAACCTATCAGGGATAAGAATCCAGTTCAGCAGTAGGTGGACTACTTGGGTCTCAAAGAGCAACACCAACCAGCGAGATCATTCAGAAAGAGATAGTTACAGGGTTAATGTGCAGAAGTAGTCTGGGTACCAACACCAGCTGAAGCCCATCTCCACATTGGCAAAGAACATGCAGGAAACAAAGCCCCGAGACTGCATCTGTCTCTGATAGGTAAACAAGAATGCATTCAAGATTAACTTCTTTGATAAGTGGCCTAGCCAAGCAGGTGTGCAAAATGTTAACTCTGACCTGCCACTAATGTAAGGTATAACTGACCCCAGAACATAGCCTGCCCACTAACAGTGCAAACCCTCCCCTGCCCACTCTGCAAGCCTCCTTAATTGTTAGCAAGATGCTATCCCAGTGCTTAAAAAGGACATCATGAGCTCTGGTCCTGGGGCCTATTGTGAGATAGGACTTCCTGCTAAAGGCCTACTATTTGCTATTATTCATCATGAAGGGTGGGAGGTCACCCAATTTTTGAGCCTCAAGTTTTTACATCCATGAATCAGGAATAACAGGTGCCTTATTGAGCCACCATTGGATTGTAAAGATTGTCAATTATATGGAATGCCAGGGAGTCAGGTAGTACTCTGTGTCCACTGTCTACCTGAGGGTCCATAGACCATTTGAACAAGCTGGGTGTCAACTAACTGTGAGTTGAGAAAGAAGACAAGAGAAAGAAAGTCCTCCCCAGTGTCATCATGCTCCTAACACCTGACTGAACTTCAGCCTACACTGAGGGCAGGGAAGACACTCAAGGTATTTTTGGAGTTGCCTTTGTAAACCTAATAAAAGCTGGTGGGGGTTTTTCCACAGCAAAATAGACATGTGTATCTAACTTTCCTGGTGGCAGAGGTGGACCTTTAGAAATCTGTCTGGCATAGATACAAAACCCAACCCACAGATGTGACAGAAAATTGGGGTGGGGGGTCAGGCACAACTAGAATGTTCCCTAGTCCTCAAGCTTCAAGCTTGGGACAACAGGGCAAGAGAAAAGCAGGTAGCAGCCTTATCTTTTTCCGCATAAATTCTGTATCTCTGCCACTGGTGGGAAGCCACGTCAGCAAAGCCCAGAAGGCAAGAGTGGTACTTGGGACACTTGGAAGCTTTTCAGGCTGCCTAATGCATCTTCCTGGGAAGAATCTGTGCTGCCCTCTCACTTTCCTGTCACCTCTAACAACTGTACAACTACCAGCATAAGGAGGGACTGATCCCTAACTGCAGCTCTGGGCATCTTCTCAGAGAACCGAAGTAGGCCAGCCCACAGGCACTGAATCCTGAATGTGGTGCCAAGAGCTGAGAACCGGTGCCACAGTCCGGGACCCAGATACTGAACAGAAGTCATGTTCCAAGTACACTTGTGTGAGTGTTATGTATGAGTACATAAATTTAGCCCTCTAGCATCCTTCTTACCTCCGCTCGTTGCCAAACAGACGGGCCACCTCTTCCCTGCCAGGGCTCCGGGCCCGAGTCCTATGCTCCAATCGCCTTCTCTCCACCTGGAAGGCTTCTCGATGGCTGATCCGGATGGCCTTAGGGATGTCGGCCAGGGCGGCATACTGCCTGCTGGCTTTAAAGGCAAAGGTGCTCCCCAGTATCTCTGTTCCCCACCCCCCAGCACTGCTGGAGTCCATATGGTTGGGTGGCCTGCTGGCTTCACCCAGGTTGTCGGAGCAGATGCTGTAGACCATGCGGCTTGGGGCTGGAAGACCTGGGGAATGAAGGGGGTGGCCGAGTTCCTGTGAAGGCGATCCAGGACAACCATACCTGCTGTGTGGGGTGCTGGGGCTGGGTGGGGACAGTGGTGGGGGCAGTTGCTCCTCAGCCCTCAGGTCCTGCTTGGCCTTCTCCAGGGAGAAGTAGCCGCTTTCTACCCGTACTTTCCGACCACCATCCACACGGTCCCCACTCATGGCGCTTTCATCTGGAAGAGAAGAGGACACTTGCCCAAACTGCTACCAGTTCTGTCCCGAAAACTTTCCAAAAGTCCACACATGGTCAACTAGGAGCTGCTTCAACACCCTCCATCTTAACACTCCATAGCTATGATCTGCAGCAGAGGTGAAGGAGAGCATTGTGGGCAGAAATGGACCGTCCATCTGTGTTTCCACTCCTTACCCTTCCCTCCAGTCTGCTCGGTTACAGTCAGACTAGAAAATACAGTTCTGGTGAGGAAGTAGGACTCCACCCTAACCAACAGTTTCTTACCAGACCACAGGAGGTAGTCAATAAACAAGACACCTTTCAGGCTCTTAGTACATTTCTGAGGCAGGGAGAAGGGCTTTTGTAGGCATAAGATGGAGCACAAGGACTTTAAATGTGGATAGGAGTGTATGCTGAAAATTCCGATTGAGGGAGGCAGACAGAGATGGAAACCTTAGCTCTGCTAGGGCATCACAGCACACTACGTAGAGAGGGCACAGTGATGTTGATGGCTTCCTCCCTGGCCCTTCTTCCTAGCCAGGGGTTGAGCAAGATGGTAACAAGGAGGAGAGGGCAGTACTACCCTAACTGCTACCTCTCTGAAGACAGATGGCAACAAACCTAGTGGGTTCTAAGAGCTAATGTAATAGGAGCCTGTGGGACAGACACAGAGGCCTCCTCACAGGGGCAGAACAGAGTCTGTAGTTCTCCTGAGGCCAAGAGAGTAGGTGCTACACCTTTTCCCTTCAGAGGTGGGGTACAGAAGACAAACTGAAGTTCACAGGCCAGGAATCCAGTCATGCCAGGCCAGTGCTGCCCAGAACTGATATGCACCCTGATATGCATCACATCCCCAGTGTCATTCCTGTCCACTGGATGGAGGCCCATTCCAAAAGTACAAGATGGATCACCACAACAAGAAGATCACAGGTGATCAGCTGCTGCTCACCTTCTTTGCTTTCTAGCCCAATTTCCCGTGGGGTACAAACAGCAGGAGGCAGGCTTTGGCTGGGACTCTGAGCTGGATTCAGGCTGTTCCCATCAGGCTGGTCTTTAGCTCTCATTTCTTCTTGCCAGAGTGTGGATTTGGTGGTAGGGACTTTCTCGGCACTGGGAATGCTGCTACTGCTGCTTCCACCGCTGCTGCCACTGCTGCTTGTGACCGCCATTTTAGCAGGCCCAGGTTCCTGAAGGGATAGCAATGGGGGATGGAGGGTGGCAGCATATGAGCGCATAGCTCAAGCTAGCTCATAGGTCCAGGCTGCTAAGTTACAAGAACACAAGGCCAGTAAAGCAGTATTGGAGGATGGGAAGCCATTCTTTCTTGACTGTTCTTTGTGGCTTCACAGTGCCTCGTCCAAGGGACCCTGAAGAGGGAAGGTCCTGGGTTTCTACTAGAGCCATGTCACCAAGCATGTAGAAGCTCTCTCTCTGTATATCTCCAGACAGTACCTAGAATAGCAGCCCAATTATTAAGGGTGAGTCCACAGCAGTTGATTTAGAGTCTGTCATTTCTATACTCACAGACACCTGAGACATGAACAAAGGGAGACAGGTCCACTGCTACCAAAATCAACCACTGGGATAAATGCAGAAAGTGGGTTCCACAACACCCTGTGGTCCTGGCCACTCTTAAGATTTAATGGAATACAAGGGATGAAGTGAAAGAGATACCGAAATAAGACAAATGCTAAGGCCTGAACAGTTGTTCATTCACATTAGAATCCTATCCCATGGCTGGGCAGTGGTGGCGCACACCTTTAATGCCAGCACTTGGGAGGCAGAGGCAGGGGGGTCTCTGAGTTTGAGACCAGCCTAGTCTATAGAGGGAGTTCCAGGACAGCAGGACTATACAGAGAAACCCTGTCTCAAAAAACAAAATCCTATGTCATGCTGATCTGTGGAGGTGCAGCCTTTAGGGTATGGTTAAGTTAGTCCTCATGAATGGGATTAGCACTGTACAAAACAGGCCCAGGCTATCCACTTTCCCCTTCCACCACGTGAGAGAGGACTAGGCAGTGGGCCCTCATCAGGCACCATATCTGTTGTCACCTTAACCTTGCACTTCCTAGTCTCCAGAATTCTGAAAGGAAAAAAAAAAAAAAAAAAAAAAAAAAAACAAAAAAAACAATGCTATTGTTTAAGTAGCTCTGTCTGTGACATTTTGTGAACAGCATCAGGAATCATGTGAAACACAAAACACCCCACTCAAACCTGCACACCCACACCTGTCACACGCGCACCTTGTTCTCGTGCACAAGCTGTTCCTTACTGGCAGCCCAAGTCATTTTCCAGTTTTCCTAGGGCACAGAAGCAGTATGGCCCTGAGGAAAAAGTGCTCGTGGGGCAGGCTACACTCAGCAGACATAGAAATACAGCTTCTAAGAAATCAGAGTTGAACTCTTTAGACATTGAACCCAGATAAGGACAGGATGGGAATCCCAGCTGTCCTGTAGTACCCACTCTTGTCCTGTGCCCAGCCATTCACTCTGCTGAGGGGGCCAAGAGGATGATGTCAGTTAATTACTATATTGCCACAAAGAGGTGGTGAAATATAAATATCCACTTCCCACTCTCATCTGCTCTCAAGCCAGAGAATTGAGCCCGGCCTATACATCTGAGCTTGTTCTTTCTCCTTTATAACAATAGTATATCTTCAGGAGGATGGGTGAATGTCCCTCATCCTTGGGCAAGATCCTTTTTTAAGTCTCAAACCATGGCACAAATAGCTAAGGTGCCTATTTAACATATCAAAGCCAACCTGGCCTCCAGGTTCTTGCAACATTCCTCAGTCCCTACCAGTTACAGAGGCTCTTCCCTATATAATCCAGTTATTTTGGTTATCTACCCATTTTGTACCTTTGGTTGCTGCACCTGTTGTTCCCCTACCCCCACCACCTAGCTCTGTCTGCTTATGTCTACTCTGGACTCTCCCAGGTGTTTCTACCTCTGGCGATGTTCTCCCATGCATCTATGCTAAACTTTCTCCACCATACCTAGGAGCTATGCCCTTTCCTTTCCTTTTTATTTGTTTTTCTTCTGAGCAGGTGGATAAGAAATCTAACTGGGTAGATGTGATCACAAAAGAGTGTAGAGGCTCACACTACACGGAGCCATCCTTGCAGGCACCTAGGTTTACTGCACCATGTCTTCAGACAGCCAGCTGTCATGTTCATACCGTGATGAACCCTGGCTGCTATCATAGGCACTCAGAAGGGCTTCTAGAGTCAAGGAAAAAGGGAGTAAGCTCCCTCTTGAGGAGCAGCATTCTCTACTTCTCTGGCATGAGGACACAACAGGGGCCACAGTGAGGAGGAAGGGTCCTGCCTTGAAGCAGAGGGCAGCAGAGACCCTACAGAAACCAAGAATCCCAAGGAAGGACAGGGAATGCTCTGTATCCAGATACAGATCAAGGGCATCACACAGGCCTCTGCCAAGGGCCTAGAGCCTGGGGATGGGGTGGGGACTGGCAAAGAAGAGAGCCACTCTCCCAAGTCCCACATGGGCAGCATACCTGTGGAGAGCTAGGGGACCCTTGCTATTGCCATGCCTTGGGGAACTTCTGAAGTTTCCCTCTACTCTAGGCCTTCTCTTCAGGAGCTTATGTATGATGGCCAATGCCTCTTCCATCCAAGTTTCTTCAGGATCAAGCTGAATTTAGTCAGACCCAGGAGAAACCAAGGCTTCCAGTCCTCAGTGGTCTAAACTGAAACTCTTCTAGGCTTGTGCAGGTCTATGGGAGATGGGTGGAAGTAGAGCTTCATGCTCATCCACAGAACTATAAGGGCCACATTCTCTCTCTCTCTCTCTCTCTCTCTCTCTCTCTCTCTCTCTCTCTCTCTGTGTGTGTGTGTGTGTGTGTGTGTGTGTGTGTGTGTGTGTGCGTGTGTGTGCGTGTGTGGTGTACCCAGAGACTCCAATCCAAATGCAGTCCTTGTCTCTCTCCTGAGACTACCCAGAGGTCAGCTGTGGGGAAGGGGGAAGACTGCCATAACACTGGTAGAAGAGGCTGGGAACTTGGTGCCCTGGTTCTGAGGCATATCCTCAGGGAAGGGGTAACTTTTCTGTTCTGGGATCATAGGGCTCTTTCTACTTGCTAGAAAGTTGGAGCCTGGCCACAGGGCCGCATCATTTGAAAGGGACAAAATCATGGGGGGGGGGGAGGGGGAGAAGGGACACATCCCAAATTTCTAGCCTGACCCAGGCTGTCTCCTGCACATAGGGAGTTACCTTATTTGGAGGCAGAAGCTCTGTGCTGCAGTGTTTCCAAGGCATCACCATGGAAACAAGGCGTAACCCTAACCACTGTTATTCAGCAGGACTTTTCCCCCTCAAATCAGGCAGCTTGAGGGATTTGAGCATTAGCTACTGCTCCCTAGCAGAAGGTACTATTTTCGGTTTCCCGGAAAGAAACTGACTACATGTTTTCATTTATCTGATTACATGTTTTAATGACTTCTAGTTAGGGGCACTGCTCTCTAGAGAAGGCTGATTTGGGTACCCTATGGATATCCTTGGTAAGGATGAGATACAGGATGGATGCTGGTCAATGAAGGGCAAACCTGGGCTGTACCCTACTAGATGGAGAAACTGTCCTAGAGATGTGGGGACCCAGGCCAGCAGCCTCTGCTTGTCTTATTTCTTCAGCCTAGGAAGCCAGAGAATAGCCAGCAAAGACTGTCTGGCCCAGGGATGACTCTCTTTGCTTCCACAGGACTCTGGCTTTGTGATGCCCAGAAGACCTATCTTGCTCATTCTCAGGACTAGCTTGATTTATCCAACACAGGTCAAAGCCCTAGTAAGGATAACATTTGGTACAGAAGGGAAAAGATAAACACTTAACCACCCTAACAAAGGGCCCTAGCTGGAAATTCAGAATGCTGATTTCACCCTTTCAGAGCCCAAGGGTGTGGTGAACACAGCAAGAATGGGGGCAGAGCCCTTCTGCCCAGGAGCCCAGAATACTGACTAGGAGGAGGAAGGGAATGAGAGAGAGAGGGACAGTGGGAGGGAGGGAAGGACTGGGCCTGGTGAGGCTGCCCCAGCCTCCTAGCTCTGGTCACGAGTCAAAGCAGGGATCCTCCAGGGCTCACCTTCCCTGTTGCTTAGCCTGCTGTCTACAGCGCCACGTCTTTCTTTTGGCAGAAGAGTAGACCACTCTGCCCTTCCCAGAGGCTGACGGGGTGTGCAGGGGAAGAGACACATGTTAAGCTGCTATCGCTCAGCATTTGCCTGCTGGCCTGAACCTTCCTGAGGACAGCTCAGGGCATTCTAGCAGGCTGTTCTGCTCAGTGATTCAGGAGGGAGGAGGAGGCATGCAAGCTGTGGCCACCTCAGCCCCGGCAAGATCTTTACCCACCCCTTTTCCCTCATTTCTTCCCAGGCCCAGTTCCACTGACAACCAGCCTACCTGTGGAGTAGGCGGCTCTACTTTCCGTTTCTTCTTCTGGTTCTGCTTGTTGGTTCTGGGATACACCATGAGCATCTCTAGCCACCTGGGAAGAGGGGAGGAGAAATAGCACCAGGTAAATCCCTGGCTTTCAGGATCCATGACTCCAGGCCTTGCTGGGGTGGTAGAGACCTCAATCCCTTAGGTATTCTTTCTGGAGAGACCTATCCAGTGCTCAGACACTGAGCAAGTTACCCGAGAACAGGGTGCAGCAATTGGGTGATACTATATCATATAGCAAGCCAGGAAAAGTACAGGCTGTTTCAGAACTATCTCAAGACCCTTCCGTGGCCACCATGGGCTCAGAGCAAGAAGATTTCTCTATTCTGATGAAGAGGCAGGGTTCACCAAAGGCATTACAGAATGGAGTAACATCACTGTTTGATTACTGACCCTATTCTCAGGACCTAGTCTCAGCTTTAAAACATCCTTCCAGATCTGGATTTGGCAAGTGCACAGCCAGGCAATGACTGACAGGCATTTAGGGCTGCTGGGGCAGATGCTGGCCTAAAGGAGAAAACTGGGAGTTATATCAGCAAGTTCCCATGGGTTACCTCAGGAGTGAGAGGCTAATCAATCACTACTTACACAGGAAACATACCAGGCACTCCAGGCTTGGACAAGGCCACACAGTTGCTAAGGATCCCTCATTAGAGCCTGCATTTTAAAAAGCCATTCTGGGCCATCAACAGAAAAACATGGAGAAAGGAGCTGTAGACAAAAGGTTAGGACCCCAGATCTGCTGCTGCCACTATCTAACAAAAGCCTTGGGTGCTCCTGGCCCCTTGAAGCACATCTCATTTCTGAGACCAGTGGCTAGATGAGTTAGGACTGTAACAAAGGATAAGAAGGCTTGCTTCAGCTATGGCCTCAGCTACGGTTAAGTGGGGCACAGCAGCTAAGTCTTCTCTCTAGACAAGCAGTAACTGCAGGAACCACAAGAGAGACTGCTTTAAAATTCACAAAACATGAGGGACCATGCTGGGTCCAGGCCTAAGGTACTGATAGCAGTGGCCATATTCCTGTATCTATTAGTACCCCTGGAACAAGAGAAGGGCTTCTTGAGGTGTTTCTATAATTTGAGTTTGCTTCAGGAAAGGAAGAGAAGCATCCCATTGTTTTTTGGAGCAGTTTGGAGAGTTGGTATCTAGGGAAGCCAAGCTTTATGTAGGGAACTACAGTTGCTATACAAAGGACTGCTTAGCCCAGCTCAACCCATGCCCAGGGATGCATAAGTTGCTAAGAGAACAAAGTAAAGCCTACTCTCTGAGCCATTGCAGTCCTATAGGTCACTTCTCCAAAGAAAGGAAGGAGTTACATATGGAATGCTAGCAAATGAGCAGGCTTCTCAGTGAATGGAGCCCCTATCCTTTTTTCCAGGAAGTGGATCTTGGAACCACTCCATGTCAGACAATATTTCTGTCAGATAACCATGCTTGAAGGGAGTGTCCTACAACTTCACTAGACTCCTAGGTCAAGATTACCTTCCCACCAGGTATATGGGGCACAGGGCAGGAGTTGCAGAACCTCCAGAGTGCTCAAAACGCTCTATATTCTATCCATTGTCAACACCAAGGAGCCTTGGTAGAGTGGAGCCATCAAGATGAACTGGGTTGCTCAGCTACCTAGGGACTTGGGAAGAGTTGAAGGAAGAGAAGCCTGGGACTTTCGGTCATTGCTACTCTTGCTGTGTGATCAGGGTCAGAGTTGTCAGGGCTGAGGCATAATAGAACAGGTTTACATCCCTATCTCTCCATTCTTCCTCCCACTTAAAACAACAAACCAGGGTCTTGTTATGTGGTCCAGTCTGTTAGGCTGTCCTAGAACTCCTGACCCTCCTCTAGCCTTAGTATCCCAAATGCTGGAATTCCAGATGTTTGCTGCCATACTCAGTTACATGTGACTTTGTCAAGGAAGCCCAGTGGGATGTATCCAACATATTCAGATGTGTTAGAAATGTTAAGAACAACAATCCAGTAAAGAGATAGGGATCATCTAGTGGACATGAGGTTGGTGGGAACCAAGTTTCTCCAACTCCAGAAGGCAGAGTTAGGTCAGTGAGAAAGAAGAGAGTGGGCAGAGCTGATGGCAGGTCAAGGAGAAAAGAATCCTAGCCTCTGAGTGAGCCAGAGAGCAAAACAAACCCCTACCAATCATCTCCAAAAGTTGTGTCAATATTATCCCAGCAGCCTCATGGCATGAGGGAACTGGAGAATGAACCACATTTCCTTCAACAGATCTGAGAGGAAAGGCAGGAAGGAAGGCTAGGTAGGTGGTAGATGTCCCTGCTCTTCCCCATCCAGTTTGGTGAAAGTATTTTCTCTTTAGGAACTGTTTTTAATGTGACCAGAGTATGTGTGCCAATGGGGCCTGGATTACACAGATGAAGAGCTATGATAGCCTTGGAGAGGGCATCGAGGTTAGAGGAGACAGAGAAAGTGTGGGTAAAGCACCTGTTCTTGGACTATCTGTGCTATGCCTGACTTCTGTGGGTACCACAGATCCTAGCATGTGGGCAAGGCTAAAGAAGCTGCTGCCTGAGTCACCTCTCTGAACTATATGGCATCAGTGACCCAGTTCCAGATACTTCCAGCTTGTCCTAAGAACCACAGACTCCCTTTTCAGTCCCAAATGCCACTCAGGCCTTCCCTAGATCCAAGTCTGGGAGTGTGAGGTTCCCTAGGAAGACTCATTTGGGACAGGTATGCTGGGTCAGATCAGGTAGTACGAGGAGCAGTTAGGAGTGCAGAAGGTCACTCACACCTGACTGTCCCCTGCTCCTGACCCTCAGATTCCTTGATATTGAGCACAGGTTCATTAGAAGCCCTTAAAATCCTTAAATCTGATGTTCTGGGTTTAAACTCAGGAAGACACACAAAACACTTCTCCAGACGGTCCCCAGAAGCTTGGAAAGGAGAATTCTTAGTCACCCAGCAGAGGATAGCTTCCTCAACAGCCCCACTAGAGATAGAATTGATGCTAAAGGAAGGCCATGTTCCCAATGGCCTTGTACTTGCTCAAACCAGAGGGCTTCATGTCCTTACTTTCCTCTACCCTGTGCTAGAGTCTGTTCCCCTCAACCCTAGGTTGATTTCTTTCAAAGCCTTTACACTCCAGTCTTCTTCTAGCCTTATTGGATGAATGGGGTTCATCGTTGAGGAAATACATGCATGTAGATCACCTGGAGTTTTCAGTGCTATACAGGACATGTTTATCAAAAGGGCTGCCACAAAGGTTGACTGATACACAGCCTGGAACAAAAGGGCTTATTCTGTCTGAGGGGAAGGCATGAGCAGCAGCAATACATAGCTGAGTACCAATGAGGCACAAGGTGAGGACAGACATGTGTATGTGGTAGGAGCACCAACCAGTGAAGAATTCCAAGGAAGACCTAGAAGCCCTGGAGTCCACAGAAATGGGTGGACAAGCGGATGGCCCCTTCTATGGCTCGGGGCAACTTACCCACTGATGATCTCCTTGGTCTCTGCCCTGATAAAATGTTCCTTGTCGGGTGTCAGAATGCAAAGGGAGAACTTCTGTCCTGTGCGGGCCTCCCCATCTACCACATCTGTGCACTGGTTCATGTTGATGGTGCCCTGAGGGAGGGTGGTGGGCTGCAAGTACAAAACAAGTCATTCAAAGGAGGTAGTGTCAGGTCCCACCAGCAGTATCCAGTCCTCCAGTCTTTGGCCACTTCCTAACCACCCATTCATGATGCGGCAGGCCAAGCTGGACATTTTTAGAGGCCATTCAGCTGGATTTCACCTTCTACTTGGAGAACAGTGTTCTAGCTTGCACTGGAGAAGGGGGCAGGACAATGAGAGAACAGCTCAGGGATGACACAGCACCAGAATAGAGGGCTCTCACTCACATAAGGCCCATGATAGCTTTCTTCCTCCATGGCTGAAAGTTGGACTCCCTAATTTGGAAGCCTCTGAGCTTAAGAGCACACACCCTGGGGAAGGAAGGGTAAGCCAGCCCAACCCAGCTTTGCAGGACAGGCAGTCCTGCAACCCAGCAGCAGGGCTTCTTGGAGAGCAGTAGACAGAAATCAAATCCCTAGATCCCAAGTCTGGTCACTTTCTGGATGGGGCTTCCTTGTCTCTTCTTGCCAGCGCCAGTCCCTTCTAGTTCATATAAGTCTTAATTACAGGCCCTCTTTAGTACACTTCTTGAACCTGTTGTAGGTAAATTGTCCTCAAAGAATTCTTCATCCTTGGACAAGCCACATCTCATCTCTGAGACAGACAAGAAAACTAGTCTATGGGTATTGTGAGGACAGAATGACATAAGCTGTGGAGATCCAGGAGTGATCAGAGGGAAGGAACTGCAAAAAAGATGTCTCTTCTCCCCTACTGCTGGAACTCCAACCCAATGCTTGGGATTAAAACACTGACATCCAAGGCCAGATGTGGCGGTGCACACCTTTAATCCTAGCACTTGGGAGGCAGAGGCAGGTGAATTTCTGTGAGTTTGAGGCCAGCCTGGTCTACAACGTGAGTTCCAGGACTCCAGGGCTGTTACACAGAGAAACCCTGTCTCAAAAAACAAAACCCCACAGCAATAGCCATGATGGAGCTCATAAGTACATCAATAGATCAAGAAATATGAGAACATATCCTACAAAAAGATGTTAAGTGGGGATGATAAAACATCAACAAAAATCCCATTACCTTCTTTTCAACGGACTGATCACCAGGCTGTTCAAGGAATTCAGTGTCACCAAACTGCTCAGGTTCCTACAATCCTAATCTTCCCTCCTGCACAGCAAGTCTGTACTAGACACTTGACCATGAGCCAATGACCCTGCCTTACGGCTGAGTATAGCCATGGCCTCAGCCCACATTTCTCCCACATGAACACACATATAGAACAGTCAGAGCTGAGGATCTGTACATAGGAGAGAATCTTGTGGGATCTGCCTTTTTGAGCAGGGATGACCTCACTTAAGTAATGTTTTCCGGTTCCATTTTTCTTATTGCTCAATAAAATTCTACTGTTCTGAGATCCATCTTACCCTGGTGAGAATGGTAATCAAGAAAATGACAATAAGTACTGGTGAGGATATGGGGAAAGAGGACTCTTATCCTGTGCTGGGAGTATGTGAGTGCAGCCACTACAGCAATGTGGAGGTGTCTCAAAGAACTAACACCAGAACTCCTTTATGACCCAGCTATCCCAATCCTAGGGAGGTGCCCAAAAAATGTTCCACTACAGAGACATCTGCATGTCCATATTTATCTCTGCTCCTTGAGGAGCTCCCGTTACTTTCTGGCAGGTATATTTCTGGGAAAACCAACCTGTGAATTCCTGATCCCCTTGCCTCTATTGTCTGACTGCTGGGATTACAGGTGTGCACCACACCTGGCCCACCCTGTTTATCACTGACCCTGGAGAGTTTAGGAGAGTAAGGAAGAAAATGGGATGGGCTGCAAAGTGAGGCTGGTTAGTATGGCAAAATGGCTTTTCTCCCCCCCCCCCAATCAGAGCTGCAATTATGGAACTAGAGGTGGCTCAGAGGACACATCCTTCACTCAGATAGGAAACAATCCCATAGAAACAACACTTCTGAAGATCTGAAAGGGTCTGTCACAATGAAGCTTGATCCTACCGACTACTTGAGGTCCTAGGATGGATTTTTCTTTCTTTCTTTTTTTTTTAATGATTTATTTTTATTTTATGTGCACTGGTATTTTGCCTGCATGTGTATCTATGTAAGAATGTTTGATCCCTGGAATTGGAGCTATAGACACTTGTGAGCTGCCATGCAGATACTGGGAATTAAACCCCAGGTCTCTGGAAGAACAGCTAGTATTCTTAACCAGTGAGCCATCTATCCAACCCCCAGGATGGGTCTTTCAAAAACACCTGACTGAGACCCACAATTACATAATTCAATGTGCAATGAGATATTACAAATCAATATTTTTATTTTAAAATGCTATTTGGCTACTTTTTATCGTGTTTATTATGTGTGAACATGCACATTTCTGTGGGTATGCTCATGCCACAGTACAATTGTGGAGGTCAGAGAAAACTTGTGCGAATCAGTTCTCTTCCTGGATCCTGGGGACTCAACTTAGGCTGTGAGGAACCTTTACCCACTGAGACATCTTTATATCCCAAGGTTCAAGGTTTATAGGATGGTACAGAAATGACCCAAGACTTCCAGGGTGCATTGTTAGGCTGTCTAAATTTATTTTGCAAGAATGAAAAAATAGAACAGGGACCTTTGTCACATACTGTCAAGCCCAAGAAGCTCCTTCTCACATCTGCAGTGCCAGCTCAATCTGGTTGGAGTTGCTGTTGAGGCAGCAAGACACTTAGGTTCTGTTAACAGTCAATGGATCTTCCCTTAGGAAGCCTGTCCCTCCCAGCCAAGGCCCACTTTACTCCTAAAGCTGAGGCTAGAGGAACTGACATCTTCATCCACCTGACAACCTCCACAAGGACCAAGTGCCTGCTCTACCATATATGACAACAACCTACTACATAAGAACAAAAATGGCTTTGATGTGGTGGCATAGACCTGTTATCCTAGCACTCAGACAGGTCAAACAAAATAACAGAAAGTTCAAAGCCAAGTCATCAGGACCTGTCAAAACAAACAACAATAAAAATGTATTATATCAGACATGGAGGCAAGGGTAGGAGGATCATGAGGTCATAGGTAGCCTGGGCTAGATGTCAAGACTGTCTCCAAAGGGACAGGGGAAAAAAAATTCATATATTTAGAAGACCAAAGGTAAAAGCTCCACATTGGACTTGGCAATTTCTTAGATGTGATACCAAAAGCACAGGCAAAAAGACAAAAACAAAACACAAAATGGACTTTATCGAAATTAAGCAGACAAAAAAACCAAAGCATCTAAAGGACGACTGAGAGAGAGGGAAGAAACACATGTAAACAACACAGCTGCCAAAGGTCAAAAATTCAGGATATATAAAGAACTAAAGCCAAGAGCAAAAACACAACAGTTAAAAATTACGCAGATTTGAAAAGACATTTCTCTAAAGACATGCCTGATAAACCCATGAAAATATGTTCAACATCATGAGTCATCAAGGAAACACAAACAAAATCTGTAACAGAAGACACCACACCACAACGTACTAGGATGGCAATAAAAAAGGGGGATGGGTTATACAGATAATAACAAATGCTGATGAGGCTATGGACAACTGGAACCTTCTTACACCTCTTACTGTAATGTATAACGGTATGGGAAAGAGTTATGGAGATTCCTCAATAATTAATTGAGCACAGAGGGCTAAAGAAATCAATCAGTGGTGAATGACTGACTGACATAAACAAAGCCTGTGCCCCATCCACAGTACCACAAAAAGCCAGGCACTAGTGGAACATGCCTGTAACCCAAACACTCCATGTTCACCACAGCATGATTTACAACAGCAGAGAAGCAGAAGCTACACTACTGCCCACTGATGAATGAATGGATAAACAAGATGTAGAACATGAATACACTGCAGTATTTAGTCATAAAACAGGATGAAGTTCTGGTATGTGTTAAAATTGGGATAAGTCCTGAGTAAAATCAGCTAGTCACAAAATGACACACACTATAACTATACTTAAATAAGGGGCTAAGTGAGTCAGATTCATAGGAACTTTAAGTAGAATGGGAATGGCTAAGGGAGAAGAACAGTGTGTTAGTGTTTAATGGTGTCTTTTTGAGTTTGGAAAGAAGTCAAGCACATGGTAGTGATGGCTGCACAGCATTCTTGAGTACACTCAGTGTCACAGAACTAGCAAGTAAGAACAGCTGAAGTGTAAACTTTTGTAATGCATATTTGGATGAACACAGATGGGGACAGACAGTCTCTCTCTCTCTCTCCCCTCTCTCTCTCTCTCTCTCTCTCTCTCTCTCTCACACACACACACACACACACACACACACACACACCCTTAAGTGGAAATGGCGGTTCTGTAAACGGAGCTGGATAGAATGCTGTAAAATCTGGTCAACACTGTTCTAGTTCTGGTGGCCTTGCAGAGCCCTTTCAGTGGATTCAGAATATAGGCTGCCACAACCAGGCATGGCCTTGTCCTTCCACCCACCCTTACTTTTAGGGGCAGCAGCAGCAGCTGACATGAAGCACCATTTCTAGATTGTGGTAATCCTACATCAAATCACCCATAAATTTGCCCTGAGGCCTGAGTCTTCCATCACAACCAGGATCACAGAGATCAGCATGAAGCCTATTTCCTGAGGCAAGATGCCAAAGTTCTTAGCATAACCTTGAAGACACCCATCTCCTTCCCACAGACAGAACAACATTGACTCTAGCTGCAAAGATGGCTCTTGTCACATGGTATTAGAGAGCTGGCTTTGTACATCAAATGTTACTTGCAGCTAGCTAGTTAGTGGCCTGTTCCCATGTCACTAATTCCAAAAGGATCCACTGATGCCAGGAGGTAAATGAGAAGTGAGCCACAGCACTTGCCATCAGATGCACAGTGCAAAGGGTAAGAGAGCATACACGGCTGAATTAAGTGTTAAGACAAAGGTGTGAATACAGTCATGGAGGCAAAGAGGCCAGACATGGGAAAGCCATGTCTGGTGATATACATAGGGGCTACATTAGTCTATGA